TGTGGATTTGTGCTGGGCAAAGCATATGCCCCCAATATCGGCCACAGTTCTTCTGACTTTGCAAATTTGTGTAATGATTGCGACCAGCTGCTGACTGTTTTCCAAGGCCTGAACCACATTGCAAATGAGTAAGGCAATGATTGCTGGATTCGGTGTCGCCCTCAGACACTATCATCCCATTTGAAGCCAGCTACAACTACTTCCGGCCCTACTATGACAAGGGCCGTCGTGCCTCTGGAGCACCCCAAAGGTCGCCCGTGGATAGGCATCTTTTGCATTTCAGCTGGAAGGTCTCTAACCGCCTTGCAAGAACAAGCAGCTGAAGCTTTGAAGATTTCGAGAATTCAAGGCCCGTGTAGCTGGTAGTAGTGTCTCTCAAGTTTCACCTGTTTCACCCTTGAGTACAGCGCGAAACTCTGAGAAATTTGTTTGGGTGTGTTTTGGTTGGTTTGTGTTGGGGGTTGGTTTGTTTGTTGTGCTTTTGTCTCCTTTGCTTGGTGGTTGCCCTCTCAAACATGCAGAGTTTCCACCCTTCTTATGATGACCTGTGCACACCGCACACATGGCGTCCGCACTCATGCAAAAAAAAATGTCGCTGGAATGCTGATCAACACCTCTTTGTGGTAATGACGTACTGAGTGCAAAGGCTGAATACATCGCCCCGGTCTCACCTTCTCTCATTTTGGCTGACATGGCCGGTTGAGTTGCGCACCAGGTTGCAGTTGGTTCCTGGGGGCCGGTTTTTGGGTTGTTTTTGTTTGTTTTTGTTTTGGTTGCTGTGTTGTTTGGGGGTTTGGTTGTTTTGGTTCTTCTCTGTCGGTGCTTGGTGTTTCTTCTACTGCAACCTGGATTGTAATTCTCTTTACTAGCATAAGATGACCTGTGCAACCTCTGCACACATGGCGTCTCCACCCGTGCAAAAAAAATTGTTCGCAGACGTCTGATGAAAAAAGAAGGAGCGCGAGCCAAGTAATGTCAGAGAGGGAGCATGGTGATGTTGAACCAGATATCTTGAAGCACTGTCACCTTCTCCAAAGGGACCCGAGACCTTCAGTGGCTTTGGTTTTTTCCATGCTCCAACTGTTCAAAAAGATGACGCCTTGACCATTTTCCGCAATGGACCACTCTGCGGACGCCCTCGGCATGATGGGAAGCCTTGGCTCGATGGTCCCTCATCGCTTCTTTTGGTGTCCAAGAACGTTTACATTTGCACTGCACTGCTTCTTATGTTTGCAGCAAAATCACACGGATCTGGAGCGAGTAGAAATACACACCCGCCTTTGTCTGTATTTTGTTGGGAAGATTGCGTACGTAAATGGAATATCCTAGATATCTTAGCAGGCATCTCAGATCTCTATGATACTTAATTCAATCCACATGCCACTGTTGCCTTCTTGGCCATCATCATGCCGAGCGGTGCTGAGCCTCCCTACGCAACGGAGGCATCGGACATAACACTTCATTTTGGATTGTCTCATCCCTGGATTTCCGGTTGAGTCAGCCGACCTTTCAATCCCCAAGAAGCTGCGAAAACACCGAAACCTGGCTTGAAATCCCTCAAAAGCAATACTGTAGTTACTTTAGATGCCAAGAGATTTGGGGGAGTTACCCTCATGCTGGCATTCCTACGAGGAGAGTGCGCGAGAAGCTCAAGAGGCGCATTCAGATGACCTTTGCAAACAGATCAAGATATGGAAGGCCAATTTGTGTTCGGTTCTTTTGATGACGCGTGTCGCATGTTGTTGTGACACAAGCTTCATTTTAAGTGAGGCTTGAACAATTTGGAAGCAGTGTTCAAATCGCTCGTCCGACCAGTCCAGCTGGGTTTTGTTCAATTGGAAGACTAAGTGGGTATGCTCGAGTTTTGATGTCTATTTTTTTTAGCCCCCGCAAGTGAATAGATACCTCGTGACGAATGCGTTGTATTCGCTGCACATGTTCCTTCTGCAGATACAGATCAACCAAGTGATCGTTACTTGTGTTCTCGTTTATTAATGACTAGTGTTGTTGACCAATTGTCTTGTGCAAGCATAGCAGGAGATCCAGCCAGGATCCTTGCCACATGCGGAGGCCGGTGAATGAATGAATGAATGAATGAATGAATGAACTGATGAGTCTTCCGCTCATCTTGTGTTGTTGGGACAACGAGGCTCCTGAGAACAACGAAGAGGAGGATTTGACGGAAGATGAAGCTGAGGACAGTCCGAAACTGTGCATTTCTTCTTCTATTCGATTCTGATTCGATGTGGGTTTTCTCTCAAAAAGAGGGCTGACGCCGTTCGAGCGACCTGAGGGGCCTTCAGAGGGGCCTTCGTCTCCTCCGTTCCTCGGCGGAGACGCTCTCCTTTTCCGTGGCATTCGATCCTTGACCGTCCGAGAGGGACTCTGAGTTGGCGGGGGGTTCTATAACTGGTGAATGAACTGATAGCCAAAGGGGTATGCGCCAGGAGACTGTGCTGGACCTTAGCTGTCAACATTGTACCCAGCTCCTTTGCCAGAGGGGTATGCGCCAGGAACACAGTTTGTACTTGCACCGCCCTTCTGGAAAACTATGTTACAGTTACAGAAACCACAATACATATGCTGCTATGCGCACGCGAGATACTTACACGAAAGCCAATTCGACGCAGAATCTAACTCAAGTTGGGCTTGCTGCCGAACGCCTCGTCGGAACTGAGGCGTGCGGCTGGTGTGCAATGCTGCGGTCTCCCTGTTCTCCACCGATTTCCGACCCATGGTGAAGGAGGCGCTCGCTGGTCCTTCGTCCTTCGCTGGTCCGTCCGAATCGCGGTGGTCCGAAACGCCGAACCGAGGCGGTGGAAGAAAGAGAACATGGCATGTGCCACTGCCGCGTGAGGGACCGTGCGGCTTTTGCAGAGTTGGGTGCTTGCTGCTGTTTTTGAAGAGATGATGCGGGATGCAAGTTCACTTGGGTAGGAGACGTCATGGCTTCACCAGCAGTGAGAGGGTGGACATGAGTGGACGAAGGTTCTTGTTTTCGATCTGATTCTACATCTTGTCCCACTTCTTATTGGCCAAAGCCTCCAGCTGAGTCGTTGTGGAGTCGTTGCGTTGCTCAGACATTTGCCGAGCCATCCATCCAGCAGGACGTTCAGTGTGGCTGTGGCTGCACCGTGGGCTATCATGTGATCCTGCCCTGCACGTGGTGGTCTTACATGCGGCGCGTATCATTTTGCGTGTCGTGTGCGAAGAAAACCAGGCCGCTGGGACTGCGGACGGCACAGACATGTTTGATTGGACCAGCTTCCAGTGCCTTCCTGAGGGAATGCTCTTCAGCGTGACGGGCTCTCAGTTCCAGATGTCTATGGATGCTCTATAGATGTCTTTTGTCTAGGGTTGCTTGGAGGTGGACATGGAGCACCAACTCCGCAATTGTATGTGGTGATGAGTCGCCCAAGTACACTTCGGTTGTGCCAAGTCGGTCGAGCAAGTGCACGACTTTTCAGTCTCCAAATCGAATTCTTCGGTCGACTTGTTTTTGTTCTCGGGCTTTGGCTGTTCTGGCTCCAACAGCTTTGCCTCCTAACCTTGCTTGGCATGTTTTCCCCCCACTTTGCCACAAGTTGAAGAGGTTGCATGCATAAGGCATCGATACAAGATCATGCCTCTGAGAAAAGGGATGTGCAGGGATTGGCCTGTGAGGTCTGTTTTCTTTGAGACTGAAACTGTCCTCTTCGAAGACCGCATACGAAGACAGCCATGTCCTTGGCCCTTGGGGCTCGTCCAAGCAACTCATTCACCGATCTGCTTCTGAGCATTGAGTGTCTCGGCAGATCGTCTTCAGACGTCTAGACCAAGTGGAATACCGACGCGAGGCCACCAGATCGTCGGGAAAAAGGAACCGAGAAACACTCGTTGGCGCTCCACCAGGTCCAACGAAACATGTTCAGTGATCACTTTCAGTAGATCGTGGCACGGTTTTCCAAGACATGTTGAAAGGGGTTTTACATGCTTTTTACTTTTTCGATCTATTTGGAGATCTGTTTTGATCCGCTTCTGAGCTCACAGGAGTGTTTCTGGTCGCGAACACCAAGGCTCTTCGCACTTTTGGTGCTTTGGCTACGCGAGTGGCCCAATGTGAAGGGGCGCCATGCAGCTTGGCTGGTGATCCGCGTGTGTCCGGTGGTTCTGTGGGTTGTGCCAAGTGACCACTCCCATGTCAAACCCCAGTAGCGTCCGATCGCTCCGTTCAGTTCGCGATGCCAGTTTCGCCCCGTTCGAGTCGCGTCCGATCGCTCCTCGTAGTACGGCCAGGAGCCCGGTTCGTAGCGTCCTTGCCCAACATTGGATGTGGTTCCCCCGAGTTTTGCACCATGCTTTGTTAGGGAAGCAGCGCATGTGGTTCTTTCGTTTCACTTGCGTCATCACGCAGCAAGGAACTCTTCGTCTCCTATGGTTTGAATCTTCTTGGAGCAGCAAGCTGGTGCGCCACAGGCGCCTTTTTTTCTCGGCTGACACGGTCTGAGACGCAGTGAAGGTGAACGAGCCATCCATGTGATTGGCAACCAAGGGCGTTGTCCATAGATGGCCTTGCACTATTGGTTGGTTGATTGATAAGTCAACAGCGGGGATACCCTCAAGTGAACAACCAATAGGTATATGGTACCAAATCGACCTCTCAAACATCTGCAAAAGGACATCATTGTTGTTGTCAAGGACCATGGTGTAGGGTGAACATATAAGTGAAACAAAAAACCCTCCCCCACACCTGAGAGCAGGTCAATCTAACTCGAACTCTTTAAGACACGCACGAAAACACAAACCCTTTCCGAGTCACCAGGGAAAGAGTTTCTCGGCATCTCAGATCGAAGGGAAGAACGGTGAAAGACATGAAGAAGGCACGCCGACACTGGCCTTAAGCATGGCTTAGCCATCACAACCACTAGCAAGAAAGATTCTTCTCTTTTTGCTCGCACCATCCGAGTTGCTTCAAAACACATGAAGCCCGAACAATCTGACTGACGCTTTGCAACGAAGCCCTTGTTTTCGACGGCGCCTCCACTCCACTACCCGCCGCCATGGCCAACTTCCTTTCACAGAAGTCCCGCCACTTGGACGTGAATCGCAGTTCCATCCGGCTTCTCGAAATGGAAAGATATGAATGAAGGGGTTTGTCCCAGAGTTGGCGTAAGGGAACATCCAGAGGAAACCTATAGTTTAGGGGGTGAAAACCATGGATTCCTGTACGTTTTCCATTCAACCCATTCATCGAGTTTGCGGTGGGATGAGAGGGAGTTCTTGGTTCTCTTCTTTTTCGGAGTTTACTTTTTGCCAACTCAGGCACTGGATCCCAGCAGGGTGCCACCTTTGATTCCATCAAAGGTTCCGCACGCCGCTTGGCCTTTCGCCCGCCGTGAACGCGTGTAACCCGGACGCGATGGACACGCGCTGGACGCCATGGCGTGCGTTTCGTTTCGCTTCGGCCCTCGGCGTGTGGACGTTTTGGTGGTTCGGTGCCGACCGTTTTGGTGATTCGCATGGCGGGACGAAGGGACCGTGCGTCGTGCTGGGTCAACGGCTCGACGGCCTGCTGTCTCTTAGGTGGCTCGGAGAGGGTGGCGGCCTAAGAGATCGACAGCGAGCTGGACATCACTGCTTTTCTTGGATGTTCATGGGGTCGGGGTGGAGTGGGGTTCGGACATCCTTTTGAGATGTGAAAAGAATTGTATGCATGTGGGAATGTGGATTGAACATGATTGAGCATGAGATGTTCAATCAGGTCTTAGCACGCTTTGCCTCCAGCTCACTGGTCCAACCTGCGCCACGCTAAGAATGTGTGAGTGATTGGGTCCACTCGAGCGGTCACGGCAGACTTCGAGCTGAGGATGCGGATGATTTGCACAGCGGTCTCAAGTTTTCTCATAGCAAGCTGGCGGGCAGTGGAGGTCTGCTGAAGGTTCTGCTCTCAGATGAAAATTGACAGACATCTCTCAACCTTTGAAAATTTGAAAGCAATCATTCCTGTTTGACAAATCACTGGATGGGACTCCAAAAAGGCAACCCTTAAGTTTTGTTTTGCATTTGCAATCATCACGCATCAGCTTCATTTACAAATGCACACACACAATGAAAAACATATGCTACATATGCATGTGCGTTTGTGTGGCATCAGCTGCAACATTGATTGTAGTGTGGGTGCTCCAACCTGCTTTTCATCGTTTCAATGGTTCACCCACGGTTGAGTGTGCAAAACGAGGCTATTCGATTGATGCCTCGGATCTTGCTCTTCTCCTTTTGGCAGCAGCACCTTAGCGTGAAGCGGAAAGAGCGCCGGAGTCGTGGGAGGTCGAAAGACATCATGGCACGGGACCTGCTGGTTGGGTTTGTTGACTTTGTGAGCATCGTCAGAGGTCCTTTTTACATATATAATATATAGTTATATATATATATAGTTATATTACTGTACTTGCATATCATATGTCCTAAACCAGACATTTGATGCTGACTGACCTTCAATGCCGCCTTGAACGCTTGAAAGGGATTCGACGTCTGCCGAACAAAAATAGTTTTGTATTTGAACAGCGCCATTCCATGGTCTTGGCTGCCACGACTGGTGAGGTTCTACGCCTACTTCTCTGGGGATCCATTCAATGCGTATGTGAATTCCAACATTTCTTGCCCACGACCTAAGCCTCCTTGTCCAGTGGGCTCTCACTGGGTTTCAGCCTCAGTTGCTGAAGGGAACCGAACGTCTCAGTGTTGGACCATCTGCAGCTCAACAGCCGCGGACCTGTGCCACTTGTGTCTTTCTCATCCGAAGCAGAAGCCCTTTCAGGTCGGCCCTGAGAGTTTGTCCAACATCACAGCCCATCTACCAGCCAGTTTTCACATCAAAGATGCAGCAATTGGACCGGAAGGCAGGGCAAAAAACGCCGTGACTTTGGATGTTGGGGATGTTTTGGGTCAGAATTCTCAGCAATCACCTCAAATCCCAAAACCACCCAAAAACCCCCAGGTATTTGCATGCCCATGGATCGGTTTTCTCCAGCCTGGAGCTTGTCAGCGAAATGCATGAACAAAGATGTGGTACTGGGACAAACCACCCGAATCAATGGCCTCAACGGCTGGATCGCGGCCTTCTTCGGGCTCTTTGCCGTCTTCGTGGCGGGGCAAATCATCGACACGACGGGACGGCGCCCGGTGCTCATCGCGTTCTTGTCCTCGAACATTGTGGTGAAGCTTTTGCTCTTCATCTCGTGCTTCGTGCCCTATGAGATCTTCGTCGTGATTGGGCCGGACCCAACATCGGGCGGATTTTACTTTTTAATTCACAGCACTTCCCGCTCGAAGCCGCCCGCATGGAGAGTGTGCGTCTGTCTGTCTCGTCGGTCTGTCTCTGTCTGTCTGTCTCGGTCGGTCTGTCTCTGTCTCGGTTTGTCTGTCTCGGTCTGTAAGTCTGTCTGTCTTGGTCGGGCAGGACACACGGACGAGCATTCCTACGATGTCAATAATGCAGTTTCTCTCGGGCTGCAACGCCGAGATCGCGACTGCTTAGCTCCGAAGCCACACGGACAATCATACACACGATGTCGATTTTTATCCATATTAAGAGCCCCCTCAAAAGCCGAGGTCTAGAGCCGAAAATGCCCCAAGCTAAAACTTAAGCTGCTTATCTAGCAGCTGATCTTCCAGACCACCCGAGCCGACACAACGCATCACTTCGGTGCGGGATTGGGTGAAAAAGAAGGTGGGCCCAAAGGGACTTCGTTTGCGATAGAGGAACGACCCGCGGAAGGCACAGTCTTTCAATCATCGATTTTTATCTTTCGCGGAGATTTTGGATTTGCGATGTCATGCGATGACATCCCGCGGGAATCTGGTAGGAGGGCGGGTTGAAGGGGAGGCGGGTGCAACCGGGGTCGCTTGTGCCTATGGACTGAACACGTTTTTTGTGGATTGAGTCGTTTGCTGTCGTGCCCACTTCACTGTATTCTTGTCATCACCTTCACAACATCACGTTCACATCATTGCCATTGCTTGCGCAACATCATCATTGCGTGCGCAACATGGCCATCACCACAGCCTTGTGTTTGGATTGGGGTGGGGGGACGGTAATCGGTTCATAGATGTTCATATTAACATCCACCAAGTGCGCAACATTATCTTCATATTTAACCGCAGCGTTGTCAGGATTGGAACAATCACCAATTTCACTGTCACTGCATAATCATTCTTTTTCCTCAAGCAGTTTCCTCGCGCCCCTGAACTGGCCAGGTCTTGTGCTCCTCTTGTTTTCTCTTGTCCTGCTGTTGTCCTCCTCTTGTCCTTCTCTCATCCTGCTGTTGTCCTCTGGCCGCGCTGACCAGCCCTGGCACACCCCTGAACTCTGTGGCCGAATGTTTAGAATGGTGAGTGACGTCCAATCGGACAGATGGGGCACCCGATAATGTGCCCGTGAGATGCATTGGACATTGTCAATTTTTCATGAATATGGTCAACAGCTGGAGAAGAATGTGGCCGAACATAAATAGCGATGTCGACGCCGACAAAAATCATTGATGAACCAGTTTGCTCTTGGAAGGTAGGGCGTACCAAGAAATCGTTTTTGATTAACATTGGTCCAAACGAATCGTTTTGAAACTGTTTGGGGTCTATGCTGGTATAATTTTCTAAGCAGTTTACTGTTGGGGTTCTCTCTTAGGAAAAAAGAGCTGGCCACAGTGGCTGGCCGTGCCCCTGAACGCTGTGTCCAAATCCTCCTCTTGTCCTCGTCGCGGCTGCCAGCCAGTGTCCAGACCTTGTCCTCCTGTTGTCCTCTTCTTGTCCTCCTGTTGTCCTTCTGCTGGTGTCAAGATGGCAAGATGTCAGGATGTAGAAATGTAGACGTGACGCCATGACAGCGTGCGCGTGCGAAGCAAAGAAGGGTCCAATGCAAGAAAGCAAGTGCGCGCGCGTAGGCCTTGTGTGGCACCTAGTGGGACAGCGCGAAGACCGCAGTAGACCGCAGCATGTAAACATCACAATGTGCGAGGGTGCACTACAACGATGCACTAACAAGACAACTCCATAAAGCAACCCAGAAGCCGAAGTCCTCTCCTTGTCCTCTTCTTGCAGTGTTCTTTCGTAGGAAAAGAGAAGCTGGCCACACTGCCGGGCCACGCCGGCGAGACCTGTCGTCCTCGTTTCCTCTTGTCACAACCTTTTGGGTCCTGTCCTCCTCATGTTCTTCTATTGCCTTCTTGTTGTCCTGCCTCAGACGTTCATTGGCCACGGCTAACAGCCTATCTCCGTTGTACTCCTCCCGCTCCCGTCGTCGTCTTGAGGGCCGCAAGAACAGTAAACGCATTTCATGCCTTTGGAAGATTTGTGTTTTGTTTCAAACTCGGTTTATCAGATCTTGGCACAAGCGCATTCCAACTTTTGATAGGACATCTCTTGGAACTTGTGATGCCATTTGAACAAGTGGGAGTTTCTACCATATACAGCATAAAAAACACTTGTGTAAACAAATCCCTCAACACTCCGAACTCCGAACAACGTTTTTCTCCTGAGGCGATCCTCTTCCTGCAAAACGTCATCGAGGTGGCCTTCGCCGCGGGCGTCGAGCCGGCCTTGAACGCGATGATCGCAGACCGCTCGCGGGGGAACGAAGACATCCGTGGGGATGGCTTCGCCGCCTTGGGAGTGATCATGCATCTCTCCGATGCTCGGTTTTGTTTTTTTCTGGCTTGGTGTGGCTGTGGCTGCTCTTGGTGGTGTTTCTGCTCTTTGTTGGGACAGAAGGGTGGGACCTGGACCAAACGAGGCTTGGGAGTTTTTATCTTTTTTTTTTAAATCTACTTTTTTTTCCCAGTGGGGTTTGTCAATGATCATTGAAGGAATGCACAAGTGGACCAGACTTGCGGAAACATGTGTCCAAGATACAAACAATGGTATTCATCGTAGTGTGTGCGTGTGTGCGTGTGTGTGAGAATCCTAGAGTTTCTCAACCAACCAAGGATGTGCTTGCATTTCTCGCGGGCTATCCGGTGCTACGCCTGCATTTGACTCACTATGCGATTTTCTGGGGGCCACTGACGGTTGCAACTGGACTGCATGAACGTTCACACCAGTCGATTGCAAGAATTGTGGCAATGATGGGTGTAGACATGAATTGAGTGACTCTTGGCATGTGGAACATATCACAGGGATATCAAGCGACCATAAAATGACTATGTGGATGTGCAGACATCAAACAAACGTTGAGGGTTGCTCGCTAAGCTGCCATTAGAGAAGGCTGGGATTGATCACCGTCCAAATGAGGCGACGGCCGGTCCATCGGTTCGGTCGATGGCTGAGACGATGTCGCAGTGGGAAACCCCCACATGCGCCATGAGCCCTTCTCGGCGCCATGAGCTTTTTGGATTCTTTTTTACGGGATCCTCAATTTTGATGGGTTTTCCAAGGGGCAATTCACCTGCAGAATGGGAATGGGATGGAATGGGATGGCACATCATGGCACAAGGGTCATGATGGTCAGCGCTCTGAGGTGAGCATCATCGCCTACGTCATCTTCAACTTCCTTCCCTGCTCGGCCTTGCGTGAGACGTTGACCAGTAGCGACTCTCAGATTCCGGAGGAGCAATGAGTGAGAAACGAGGGCAAAGACGCGGGGAAAGACGAGGGGAAGTAGGTCATGGTGGAAGTGGCTGTTTCAGTGGAAGGGATGGGGTCCAGATAGGTGGGGAAAGGGCCCCAACCATCGATGAGGGAAACATCGAAACCTTCTGACCCGGACCCGAGCTTGTCACCAGCGCAACACCTGGCTTGGAAGGGGAAAAAGGGAAAAGACCCATGAAGAGAAGGAATTGGCGACACTTGGCCACTTGTTGAGGGTACCTATGTCTTTACGCTGTCGGAGAGGAGCTTCTCGCGTCAGCGCCCCGCGTCAGCACCTCTCGTCGCCACCGTTTTTCACGGTCTCTGGGCGCTTCTGCAGCGCAGGAGCCGGAGACTGACGAGGAGGACCTCGAAGAGAGCAAGGCGCTTCGGTCTGGGCAGCCTGCTGCGGTTTTTTGGATGGTGAAGTGGGGCTGAAGAGGAAGGGTAAACAATGATCACTATTTTAAAAGAAAGGGTTGCAAGTACATCATCATCAACCGGGTCCTGGTAATGGGGATACATCCAAGGTGAAGTATAGTACCTGAAACTGAGTGGGATCTTGACAGCTAGAAAACACAGTTGAAGTTGTAAGATGCGCTTTAGTGGTGTGTTCGTCTGGTCGAATGGTTTACTCTGCTTCGATCTGCAGGTGAAGCGGTGCTTTTTGATGATCTGTTCGGAAACGATCGCTGGCTTCAAGATGGTGTGGAAGGATCCATTCTTGATGCAGTTCCTAGTTGCTTGGCCGAAGATCCATGGAAGAAGAACAGGTAAAAGGAGGTAAAGACTGAGTGCATTGCATTGCGCAAGTTGACCAGAAACACTTCATGAGCTTCACAGCCACAGCCGTTGGGGAATTCCCAACCGTTCCCTAAGCCACAGAAAAAATCTCAACGGCCCTAGGGGCCTAAGGATCTTTTCCCAGCGATCGACACCTTGTCGGCCCTGGGGTAGAACTCTCGCGTTGTGAGGTGATTTGGGCCATGACCACGATGGCCATGACCGGCTCGTGGAATTTGTCCGGGCAATACCTCTTGGGCTTGGGCTATGAGCAGGAACGATGGGCGAGTTCCGGTGATGTGCCAGCCAGGTAGTAGATAGTGCATGATAGTGCCATTGTGGTGGACCAAAAATGACCAAAAACACCTAGAAGTCCGACTCGAATGGTTGAGGATTTCAAACTGATCCTAGACTGATTTCCCTACTTCTCCACTTTTTTTTTCTCTACTTCTTCTCCCAACAGGTTTGTGACATGACACCAAACAAAAAAGGAAGAAGCGGCGGCTCAACCGGGTCCGCGCGTCCGCGCGTCCGCGCGTCCGCGCCGCTGTCCACGAGGCCAATGCATCGCTCGCTCGCCGTGCATGGCACCTGGCCTTAGTCCTTGGAGCAGCGGTGAGCCCTTGCTTCATCAGGCCCCAGGGCCTAGGGCCTGCGGTTCGGGTGATGGTGATGCGGTTCTGGGTGCGAGTCAAGAGGGGGATCAAGATGCCCAGCTGGGTGATTCGCACGTTCTGCGAACACTGGAATCCGTTCTCCTTGGTTCCGGACACCAGCACGCATGGGTCTTGAGTCTTCAAAATGCCACTTCACGCCCATGGAGCGTAGCCAAGAATCGCTTGGATGTCACGCGAAAATGACACCCATGGAAGTTTGGCAGATTGACTTGCAGCCATTGTGGGGAAGGAATCACACAGTGAGCCGGCAGACGGGTCACACAATGGATGCCGAACTCGAACGGGAAGCGACCGAACTCTGAACGGTGGAACCACCGGAACCGAACCTTCGGTCGGTCACCGAAGGTCACCACGACCATGTCACCCATGTTCTTGTTTCATGTTCCATCAGATTTGAAGATTTCATAGGTTTACAGTTAATATTACGAAAGCCAGCCGATAGGCAAGTCTTGTGCTTTTAGGGTGAACGAAGTGAGTTAAGGGAGCGGGGGTGGGGTGGTCGCTGAGCAGAACCTTTTGATAGGGTGAACCCAGAGCTTGGTGGGGGAAAGCGCTCCAAAGCGAGAGTCCGAAAAAACAGTGAAAATAGGGTTTAGTGATGCGGGTGATGTAACGAACGCAGTAGTGCATCATTAGCATCATAAAGGACTTTGAAGACTATTTGGACAATGGGCATAGAGGACTCGAGTGGAGACAGGGACCCACGTAAAGGGACCCACGTAATGAAGCGGCAGCTAGCTTTCGTCCCCTTTCTCAGGTCTAAGTAAGTCACAATATGTTTGTTAGGACTGTTGGATGTGTAAAACGTGTATAGAGAATTGCTGTTTTTTAACCTAATGGTTCTGGGTGGTGTGTCACGCCAACATCTATAGTCACGTCGCGAGCGACGTGACGGCTTGTACAGCCCTGAGGCACTTCAATGCGACCGGGGCGTATGGAATCGCACTCTTGATGATGGCGACAGGCTTCTTCGTTTGTGGCACTGGAGGACATGATCTGCAGCACGCCAGCCTCTTCTTCTGGGCCCCTGGTCTGCCCTAGAAGTTTTAGTGCAAAGCGCCGTAAGCGCAGCGGGCACGCCAGCGCGGGAACCCGCACGTGCGGGTTCCGCGCGCGGAACCTGATGAAGACTGGGTCCATGTGGTCCACCGGTGAAGTGCCGGCCATGGGGGACAGTCAGCGGCTCGCATGTTTTCGGGCGTCGGTTGCTCCAAGGCGGGCACGGTTCTACTTGGAGGCTGTGGCGTCGGTATTCTAACGCCGAGCTTTAATGCCATCATCAGCATCCGTGTGAGCGACAAGGACGGAAGACTTGGTTTTGGGGCATTTTTTCCTTGATGTGGTTCATGAATTCCTGCATCCAGCAAGTGTACAGACATTCAAGTCACTCCAAAAAAGAGGTGTTGTGACGAACGTGCCTTTTTTGGTGCGGGTGGCAAGACATGGAATCCATATGTGTCGTATTAAAATCACTATGTCTTCTTTGGAATGGAAGGGTCAGATGATTGAGGAGCAAGGCAAGCTTTTCTCCTTGGTGCTGGCCTCAGATCACAAGCATGGTCTTTACAGGTGCTTCAGTTGAAACGGGAAAGGGATCGTATTTGGCCGTATTTGGCTACAAGGACTGCAGACGATTTGAGTGCTTCCCCCTTTTCGATTGGTGGCCCTTAGCGCTCAACAAAACCTAAAAAGGGGGCGGGAAGGATCTTTGTGGCCCTGTGGCTGTAGATTATGGTAGAATTGATCAGAAAAAGCCTTTTAACGTTAGAAGTACGTCCCAGCCCCTGAACTTAGGTCATTGTGATGAACACCATCTGTGGCCTGGCTTTCGGGCAGCTTTGGCCGCAACTGCAACTCGGGCTCAAGATAAAGTGTAGAAAACAGTTCATAGATAGGAATGGATTGAACACAATTGAAGGAACCGCACCATGGAACGCAACCGCTGATGGGTTTTCCTTCGCACATGGGTTCTTCCAGATGGGTTTTCAATGGTCTTCATGCACCCAGGTTCTATAAAGCGGACGCCGATGACTGGATGAAAGGACTTCCATGGCTAGCCTCAGCCGCTGTCTTCATCTTCCTGTTGTTCTGGATGCTTCTGATCCTTTGCTTCTGCAAGAATGATCCTCAAAAAGCAGAAAGTGACTGTGGTGAGGACTGCAGCAGCCACTCAGGGTTGGAAAGGGCGTTTGTTTGTTTGTTTGTTTGTTTGTTTGTGGAGAAGTCTCTCGTGCCCTTGCAGGACAGCAGTACTGATGAAGACTCAATGGAATGATTTTGCACGACGCTGATGAGTAAGTCGTGTTGTGGCAGGTGTAATTTAACGATGTTGTGACAAACGTTTGGCCAAGTATGATAAAGCTAGATTGATTTCGGGCCGCCAACAATTGGTGCCCGAAGTGGTGTGGCACAACTTGCTTGCAAGACCAGTTCTGGTGAGCAAGATCCACGAGTGGCTTTGCAAGAAAGTTCAGCATGGATTGCACTTGGTATTGTTCAAAGATAACACGCCAATGCGCCGTGGTCGAGTTTCTGCAGGACGCAGCATACACTTGAGCTCTTGTTCCGTTTTGGAGCAAGCTCCCGATTCGATGATGCAAGCCAATGCTGGGACAAATGGGGAGAGTGGCAGCCACTTCAGGGTGAGTCATACGTCAAGAAGTATTGAGAACCTTCACAAAAATCAGTTTTATCTCAAAATCCATCCCACCGTCCCACCAACGATTTGAATCCGTGAAGCAAAGGGTTTTTCAAATCCATTCAACTCCATATTCCGATAGCTAGCGGTATAAAATGTATAAAACATTCCATATTGGCCTGCTATGGAGATCGTATCAATGTCCTGAGGCCAACCAGGTTGTGCATTTTTGGTCCTCACTGTTTCTGGCCTTATCCAACTTGAATCATATTCTGTGATATTATTTGACATGATTGGAGGGTGCGCATCAACAGATCAGGACATTTTCAAGAGTATGTGTACCAAAGTCACATACGGTGGATGGCATGGCCTGGCTTTGGCTCCGCCAGCCGCTCATCGGTTTACTCCTCAGCTCCGCCGCTCCGCCGATTCCTGCGGAACTCGCGACTTCGCCGATTCGACGGCGGCTTCTCCGACGCGGCGCGCGACCGATGTGACGCGGCAGGTGTTTACATTCATACCTGGGAGCCCCTTCCCCAGGACGGGAGCCGCGGAGGGAGCACACGGAAAGAACACGGCCGCGCCTACTGCGCAGGGCGGCCGCCTTTCTCGCATGGCCGGGAACGGGATTCTTTGTTTGGCGGAGTTTGGTTGAGAAGGAAAGACGTCACTGATGGCTAAGAGCCGAGGAAACCCGAACAGACTTCTTGGAACAGCTTGTAACGATGGTGACCTGATTTGATCCATTTTATCCGGTCCAACGAGGCGCCGCGAGGGATGACGAAGCCGCTTGAGCCAGCGCCAGCTTGGCGCCATGAAGAAAAGGTGTTCTTCACAGCTGAACTTACCTAAATCCGTATTCTGTGGCAGAAACGGGGTGCCCCGTTTGGTCGCGCGTTTGTGTCACAGGAGGCAACGCTGGCCTGGCAAATCTTCCTCAACTTGGGGGCCACGACGCCTTTTCTGTTTTCTCTCGCGCGGAAGCCTAGCGGCTAATCTGGCCCGTCCAGGCTGCGCTGGGGTGCGCTGGGTGCGCGGGGGGGTTCCGGAGCCGAGACGGCCGTGCGACGGTGGTCTCGGAAGGCGCCAGACGGCGCCACGGAGCCGAAGGTGATTCGTGACAGCTTCTACCGAGCAGAGATGAGCCCCAGTGTGGCCAGGAAGCAGGAGCGGGGTCTCCCGTCGGTCGCAACCAAGATCCTGTGAAAAAGCATGAAACACCAACTTTGGCCCGTTCTTTTTTGGCTCCCCTCGCTCATCACCGATCACCTTTCCTATTGCATCCTATCGCTAATAGCATAATAGCGCAGCACCCCACAAAGGGGCCCAGATCTGCGATGTTTTTTGCGAGATTTGCCGTCTTCCGTTTCACATCATCTTCAGGACATTGCTATGGCGTCCTGTGCACTACTCTATGCTGTGCTGGCATGGAGCAGTTTCGACTTTTCAATGGGACAGCCACTTGTCGCAGAGCGATGACCGGGGGGGTGCATGCATTTGACGTAGCTCAGGTAGCATGCTCATACCTCTACCACCCAGGGTACCACCAGAATGAACCGAATGGTCAGCCAACCCCATCAGATGTAAGATGTGAGCTGCTTGCTTGTGGGTGGCTGACATGACCCAGATCCAACTTTGGCTGGTAGCTGTTGTTTTAGACTGGTCTATGGTTCTTCCATAGACCTGAAGGTTGGCGCGCACCTTCAGTGGATTCGATCCGATCCGTTTTTTCTGTTTCTTTTTCCACAACCCACTGGTCGCTCAAGATCGCTCAAGACCACCCCACTGGTCGGTGCGAGATGATTCTCCCGGTGTCACCGCCCAATGTCCGCAGGCCACTGCAGCCGATTCCTGTTTCGCCCTGGCATTTCCTTGATGGCAGTAGCTATGCCACTTGGCCAATTTCCTGTTTTCGCCTGCATCTCTGAAAAACACAGATTCACTAGGGGGGGGGTTGTGTTGTGTTATGGTCTTTTTGTTTTCTTTGGGGGAGGTTTTGGTTCTTTTTTCCTTGGTTTCGGGGCATTCCAATGAGGCTGGCGAACCTTTGGGAATTCAATTTGACCTGCTCTCCACCATGCCATCGGGCAGATTTGATTCGCAATTCGCAGCTCGGCAGATTCGATTCGCAGTGTCTTTTTTTTTGCACGTGAACCTTGCCTTGTTAGAACAGTGCAGGACTGTACTCCCTCGCTCGGACAACTGCAGCTTGGAATTGTCAATTGCTTTTGTGCTGAAGACAGGTGCTGAGTGGAATCTTTATGGCCTCAAATTGCTTCAGTGGCCTTCTTTGCCTGAACACCTGCTACAAGAACAAGGCGGAAGAGACCGAAGAGAGTTCCTTCCCACCTTAGCAACTGAAAGATCTGAAAGCACCCACAGTGAGTTGAACAGCGTGGAGGCTGCTAAAACTTCCTAAGGGCAACCTAAAGGCAAAGCATTTTCTCTGCACCCAACCTCGCTCTGGCAGGCCGCAGGGGGACCTGAACAGAGGGCAGCTCGTTGCTTGGTTTCATTCTGCATGCTACTTCACTCCTTGAAAAAGTCAACAAGCATCAACAGGTGGTTTTCACCTCCTCGCTGGCAATTTGCTGCCCAAAACAATCATTTCTCAGTTCTCTTGCCTGGTTCGGTGCCTTCTCTCGTTCCGTTTCGTTGTTCACTCGTGGGTCCCGCGCGGGCGGACCCGCCACGGGGGACGACCCGCGGCTGACCTCGACACAGGTCGCCTGACGGTCTTCGTGTTTTCCATGTTGGTGAACTGCCACCTCTTGGGACTGCTCGTGGCTAGCCGACGCTGGGTGACCGAAGCACGCGGATCGCTGGATTCGCGTATGGATTCTTTTGTGGTACGCGTTGGGATGCTTCTTTTTCTTTCAAAGGGTTTGAAGTGGTTCTTGGAATCGGCGAAGATAGCCAGCCCATTTGGGAAGTCTCAGAATGCTTTCGGCATTTTTTGGATTTGCAGGACATGCTTTGGGTTGAACTTGGGATGTGGCCAAGCTGGTCTTCTTCACTCACTTGTAGGGATGTGTTTCATCCTTCTCAGGCTGGATTTGCCACAAGACTTGAACCTGGACAACGGCAGTGCTACAGTGCTGTAGCACGGGTTCCACTTCACATGCCCTCTGGGCCTTCCTGACCTTCCCACCGATCTGAAAGAAAGCTCTCCTCGGCCCAATCGAAGGATTGGCATCATCGAAGCTGGCGTCCGGAAGCCCCAGGGAACTCGTCGAAGCGTTTTGGTGTCCTTTTGAGGGGGGGCAAGCGGATGTGTTTCCAACATCGAGGCAGAAAAGCATCTACACATTGGGCAGAAAATGGCTTTTCCAATGCTATTGAAAAGGTTCTGACATTCTCCTGCATCCCATTCCTCTGAAATGTCGGGGGTGGCACATTTATGGATCCTTAGAAAAAACACATGAAACACACCTGAGACCATCGCCCGGGGTGTCAAGAGCTCGCTTAGTGTTTGCCATGTCGCCCCCACAATGAGGCTGGACATTTTTCACGTGGCGCAAGGCGGATCTCGCAACCGTAACCTGGGTGGGTGTTCTGCCACGCGGCACCGCGGGCGGTCCACCACGGGGCCTGGGGCGGGTGATATGGCCTGGGACTGGCGTAGAACGGAACGAGGTCAGTCTGATGCAGCAACTTGTGGACAGGACATTTCATGAAAGTTCCACGTATTGTGGGGTATTGTAGGATGTTGATGTAAGTGAACCAATGAGAAAATAGGAACCCAGTGTGAGAAATGAAGAGCATGGCTCAGTGGCATTGAGTGTATCTACACTTATTGATAGCAATGGCCTGCACCCTGATAGCCATGGCCACCCTGGTAGCGATGGCCTCCACCCTACTTATCAACACTGGTGTTTTCTTGACTTGCTTCAAAACTGGCCACTTTGCTCGTGCCAGGAGTGATTATTTGGGTATCTTTCTGCCAGCTGCGACTGATTCTTCGTGAGGGACATTCCAATTCGAAGGGCGAGTGATGAGTGAACCAGATGTGAATGGAGCAGGTCAAGGGGTAATGGCTCGGCGAGGAAAGTTCAGTAAGTCATCGAAAAGAACACGTGTTGTGCCAGACCTTTAAGCCCTGGCTTCTTTTTGCAAGCGATGTGCATAAGTCTCTTAAGCAGCAGGTGAATCTGCTGTGTGAGATCTATCCGTGACGGGTGCGAATGATACTGAAACCTGTATAGCAGGATACTCCACCCGATGTCACTCAGTGATTCTTTTCCCAGGGTCAATTCCTGGTATCCCTAAAACCGGGCCCTGAGTTCCTCACATATAGCCAAGAAAGCAAAACCTGAGCAGAAACCATTCCCATTTCGGTACCATGTTTGAGGCTACCAGGAATTGTCCGTGATTTTTGCATTTTTTTTGAGGTCAATGGCCCTGAAGCTTCATAGCTCACCGAATCTAAAAATTGAGCGTGCACACAGCCAACGTACTGTGTTCACCTCGCTATATGGACTGTTGCGCACTTGGACTGTCTTTGTGGGCTGTTTATGAACTGCGAGAAACAGAGTGCTTCTGTGTGAGAAATGACATCAGTTCGTATCAAAAGGCAGTTCGGTGACTGGAAAGACCTGGAACACTTGGAGTGTCCGCGAATTGCGCAGGGTCTTTCCGAAACCAGCGACTTGCACGGAAAGGTGGTCAAAAAGTGGCGTTCGCGACTGCTTCACGACTGCTTCACGACTGCGCCACGACTGCAGCGCCAGATGAAGCTTCGGACGGCGCCTGACACGTGGACCACGCACGGCTGGAATCTCCAAGGTCACAATGACCAGTACTGGTTATTCGACCGAAACGTCAAGGCCCTGGGGTGAGTCGTAGGACCCACAGCTGTCGAGTCAGGAGCGACCCAGCTGGAGCTTCTTGAACCATGTTGACCGCCATGAATACGCCATGAATACCATACAGAACCATACGGGTTTTCCATGAGAGGTGGATTTTCGGCCAGGCTGCCAACCGCACCACGCCTGAAGGTGCCGCCTTGGCTTGGGCCTTAAAACCGCCCTGCACCGCCTTGAGACTGCGGACCGCCGCGTGCGGAGCGAGGTCTGGTCGGAGCTGCCCAAACATGAAGCTGTCGAGAACGATCGAAGCTCTCAGGTGGGGACTGGACGCTTTTGGGTCCTTGACCTGTAGGGAAGATATCTTAGTACTTTTTTTCGCACACAGAAACCAAAGGAGGAGAACGTATTCGAGCACGATGGACCGTTTTTCGACGATCACGAACCTTGGAGAGTTTCATCCGTGGACACCATTTTGTTCGGAAAAAACCACAGGTGGGAGATTTTGGGGGATCTATGTGGTCCATTTGCAGTTTGGAGGGTATTCTTGTTTTGTTTGTGATCTGTGGATCGCTGGAGACTGAAAGATCTTTTGGAGATATGGCTGTGGCTCCACAACCATATACCATATATCTCCATTCATTGCTGTCGACCCAGCCGCGCAGCCGGGGAGGGGATGGGTACTGCAGGCTCCAGACGATGAGACGGTGGCAGAAGGGGAAGACTTGAAGGAGCAGGATGCGCTTGGAACTTGGACTTTGCACCTGGCAGGGTAGAAGGGAAGCATCAATATGACACAAGCATACACAAGCAAGGTGCACCACTGACCCTGATCCTTTAATTTGTAGCCCTTTTGGACTCAGCTGGTGAACTTTTGGCCATTCCTAAGATTCTCATGAATACGACATCGATCATCTCATTTTTCCATTTTTTTGAGGCCGTCCTGCCCCATTTGTCCGCAACCCAGCGATGGGTGGGAATCCACGAAAAAGAAACACCGGCGCCCGGCATTTCTGTGTGGTTCTTCAGGTGAAGCGTCATAAACCAATCGTGTCCAAAGAATCTGGTGCACTTGGGGCTGTCCAGAGCACCAGGGCCGCTGTTGGTGGGCCGTTTCTGTGTTTCAGGCCATGAAAGGATGCGAAGACCACTGGCGCCACCTTGCGGTCACGCCGCATGTGAGTCTTGCAGGGAACTCAGATGCTGAGGGCTATGTGAGTCTTCTGCAGTTCTGAAGCTTTGCATGTAGAGCATTTGCGTGTGAAGAGTCCAACCCTAGCATCCGTGTGTTCGGCCGTGTGATTCACGTCCGTTGTGTGGATGTCACTGGATGTCTATACTCTTCAACATGCGGTGGTTCAAACAAACAACGAACAAATCGCAGACGAACGAACTGACATGCAGCAAGAGTTCTGCTAAGGCCTGACCAGAGCAGTTGACTTGCGGCGAGAATGTGTGGCACTTGGAGCTTTTCCAGAGGTCGTGGACTTGCCAGAGGGACATCTTAGAGACTTTTCAGGAAAAACACACCCCATGAACATGACGGACGATTCCTCTCTTGCTGTTCCGTCCGGTCACACGTGGTACCTCCTCGAATACGTGGGTGAAAAGAGATTTTTTTGGACCGACGTACGAACATGAGAAACCACGAAACCAAGTCGTTTCACCACGAAGAGGTCCCTATTGCAACGACCACCTGAGGTCCCTATTGCCGCATGACGACCACCTGCGCGCAGTTGACTCGGTGTGGGACCCGACCCACGGTGACCCGCGCCGAAGTCCACCGCAGGGAGGGCCTTGGGCGCCGCGGAGTCACCCTCTGCGTTCCGCTGTTCTGCTACGGATCTCGAGTCTTTTTTGGGCAGAAATGGGGGGACGCGTTTGGAAGGATATCATGATTGTAAGTATAGTGAAGATGAAGATGCAATGGAAGACGTGTAGCCGTTTGCCGGGATGCTCCCATGGAAGACCACGCGCAGACACGCGTGCGTAGTAGGCCAAATGTCCGCTGCGTCCAGGACATTCGGTGAGGCCGAGAAGGCCGAGGCCGAGGGTCCGATCGCCGAAGCTTGTCTCAGGTTGGATCCTGAACCCAAGAAGGCCAGACTCGACGCTCCCGAGCACGGAGAAAACGGTCCGAGCCGACGCGGTCGGACCGAGAGTTTGGTCGGACCGAGATGGGGCAGGTTCCCTGGTCGTCTATTTCGGTTCACTCGGGTTCCCCGGGGGTTGTAAGTCATGGCACAGCCAATGTATGTCAATATCTTCACTGCACCCTTCCAGATGCAGAAGTTCCAGGAGTAATATGACGTGTTTGAGTTCAGGGAACACTGTTTGAGTCAACGATATTCATATATTCATATTCCACCTTCTTCAAGATCCTTACAATGAGATTTAGCAGATCCGTTCTTCAGAGGCTAGTGTATCCGCTTGATGTTCTGTGTGCGAATCAGGCTCAAGCAATGTATATGGCAGTCAGCAACCCCTCATGACAGTTGAAAGGCGAAGATTTGATTCACATGACATTTTGACTCAGGGTTAAGGGGCAACAAAACACCGTCAGTTCCGAGGTGTTTGGGGTCCAAACCCGTTGGGACCACATCCCAAGTATCATGGTTTAGTAGGAACTTGTTTGTATCAAGACACACATTCAGGACCGGGGAACTTTCCAGGCCACGAACACAATCCCTTGATGACTGGGCCTTGAATGCCACCGACTGCCTTTTGACATGCGAAGACTTCAGTCTACGTCTTTTCAACTGCCTGTGGTATCTTCGGTTCGTTTTGGTCCACCGCAACAAGGGGTCTCTGGATCACAACCAAGCACAACCAAGCAGAACGAAACACTGAGATCCGAGAACTGTAGGCTTGACCACCCCGCCTGATGGTCGCAGAGTCCGAATGCTGGGGACCCCGCCTGCTCTCGAGAAGAAGGACACATGATGGTTTCCAAGTGACTTCTCGCTAACATGGGTGACGTTACACCATTCTGGTGTCCTGGGTGTGTGTGACTTAACAACGCCACTAAGTAATGTAGACTCTTGATCAACAACCCCACCTGAAGAGGTTCTTCAATCCAAATGCGGGGGGTTATGGCGGTCCTCAAGAGTCTATAGTATGAGATGCAAGATGAAACATCTTGTGACCATTGCGCCCGTCGTGCCCAATGCTCTCCATTTCTTCTTCACTCAGCCAACGAGAAGAAGACCAACGACAAGAGCAAGATCAGCTGTTCTTGGTTTGAACTGCCACCCAAAAGCCGCCAAAAGGCTTTTCAAAACAGCAGTGTAGTTGAGGGCTATTGGATGGTAGTGGCAAAGGGATGATGCAAGAGGCACCAACAAGTCATGTGGGAAGCTCATGGAAGCTCTTGATGGCTTTCATCACCCGGCGTCCGAAGTTCATGAGGCTACCGGGAAGTTTACCCTTGAATACCCTTGAGTACTTTAGAGAGAGAGAGAGAGACCTCTTCCAATCGAACGGCCTCAGTCACTCCTGAACAGTCTCAGGTCCCTTTGGGCAGCCTTTACAGCTGCCTTCCAAGGCACCAATTCTGAAGCCAAACACGGCGTTTGTGCCAGCAGGGTTTAGTGTGGCTTGACACCGGCGCGACGTGGGTTTTCTTGGAAGTAAATACAATTGAAACAGTGAAGCAAGCACATTTGCAAAAACCATCTCAGATAAGGGATGTCGCATCATTTTATTCATCTGTGATATGTGCTACCGTTCTTTGGCAAATTCACGGAAGGTCCCAAACCAGTCGATTGCTTCCCAAGTCACGTGCATCTCACCAGGAACCTTTATGGCCTATCCGTGAGGACCAGAAGCCCGAGGCGGATTGCACTGCGTCGGGCCTCCCTCAACAATTCCCCTGGTGAACAGCCCGCGAGCCGGCCAGGGCAGGTGGACCTCCTTTTCCCCGTCCGACCCATCCAGACAAAACAATCCGGACGAAGGAAGGGTTGGGGTCCGTCCAGGTGGTCCACTCCGTGAAGGAGTTCTTGGAGGTCTTGCAGATGCAAACGCATGTGGATCGAGTCGTGGCCAGGGGTCCCGCAGGAGTGGCAGGAGTGGAGGGAGGAGGGGAGGGAGGAGGGTCGTGCGTTTTCATGAGGGGAAACCGGAAGATACGCGAATGTTCATCCGCAAAAAAGCACACGTTGGACCCCAGGATATGGAGATTCGTTTTTTTTTTACAAACAAGAACAGCGCCCAAAGGAATGGCAGGCCAACAAAGAGGACGTGTTGAAACAGAGTTGGTAAATGCTGAGAAGCGCTCTGACATGCACTCTTTGCGAACACCAGGAAGCTTGAGACATGGTTTCTGTCTTCTGAACGTGACATCATGTGAAGCAAAATTGCACGATATGGAGGCCTATTAACCAACTGTCCTGTTTGTTTTTCTTCAGAGTAGCTCGGACATCGCAAAGGTCTTGCCCAATGGGATTGATCTACTACAGCAGCGTGACGCAGCACCCATACAGTCCCTGCCTGAAACTGGAAGCTCAGCACATGGCAGATTTGGAGCCTGTTTCTTTCAGCACTTGGCTGGCAGCATTTGGACATCCAAGACACTTATTTCAAGAGTATATTTGGCTTTGGCTCAGAAAGTAAGACCCAGGAGCTCGCACAATTTTGGACCATAAGACAATTTCATGTCGCCAATTTGGAACAGTACCAATTTTTGAGCCATATCCATCTCATTCTCTATCAGGATCTCATATTCTGACACGTTCAATCCCAACGTCGATCCTGTCAACCAGGCTGTGCGAAGCTGCCCGGGGTTCCTCCTCCATTCGGCAAGTCCTAGCGCAGCTGGGGAAGATGGTGCCCAGCTCAGGGCGTTTTCTCAACGTCCGAGCTCAGTGGCGCTTCAGTGAAGCCTAGCTCAGGTCTGTAAGCATGGAGATCCATGGCTTCGTGGAGAGAGACAGCACCCGCAGATATAGAGTTCCACGTCGGACTGAGAGAGCACCACAGGTCACACCACCTGGTCCTTCCACCTGACACCTGATCTAGTAACATGAGGGAGACGTTCCGTGTCCCTGCAGGCTTCCTTTGCAAACGATTTCGATTCCCAGCTTTCAGTCCATTTGATCCTGGCTATTCCGTCACTGGTGCAGATCAGACTCTAGTTGCCAAGCTATGGAGCAAAAAACAATTCTGGGGATGAGTCGTGGCAGACCATGCTCACCCGCTCAGTCCACCTTGCTCGCCGCGAGTTCCGCGGCTGAAAACGACCGTGACCGACACCTGGTAATTAGGGACCTACCGGACACGATCTGGTGTTTTGACCAAGAGCTTGTGACGGATGCCAAACGCCACGCTGCCAAACGTCACGTGGCAAGGGGTTTGATGCATTCTGTGTCAAGGGAAACCAGCTCAACGGCTTTCAAGCCCGAAACTCAAACTCTGAACTCTGAGACACCCAACGATTTCATCCATGTTTCGTCCTCCTATGTAAGATATGTAAGTTTGGACTTCATCTCGATCTCGTCTCTTCTCTCGCCCCCCAAACCCGACGTTCCGACCGGCGCCGACCTGGTCGGTCCGACCTCGCCGGTCGCCCGTTCGCCCAGGCGCCCGCGCCGCGCTTCCGCGTGCGCGGCCTCGGCAAGACGCGTCCGTTCGACGAGTGGACCCGTTCTGGTTCAGCACGTGAGAGAGAGAGAGAGAGGTGAGGTAGTAGATGAGAGAGGTGAGGTAGATGAGGTTGGTGTTTTTTTTTGTGTTTGTGTGTGTTTCATGATGATTCTTCATGTTTTTGGTTCTGTTATTTTGAAATTGATGCCCAGTGCGGTGTTTCGATGAGAGTGGACGGGTTTGTTCTACTTCTCGAATGGCCAGAAGTGGAATCAACAAGTCCAAAACCCTGATATCCAGGCGCGGCTTTGGCACTACAGTCAGCGTGGCCGCGAGAAAGAGATTAAGGTGCAAGAGATTCGTGGCAAACGTGAAAGATTGGCTTGGAGAGACCAACAACCTTGAGACAAGTCTATGTCAGATGCCCTGGTTTAAACGAGGGTTTCAAGGCACAAGTTTGGTTGGAAAGCTCTGGGACCATGTCCGTTCTTCCTTTCTTGGCCACCTTGGCTTCTCCCCATCCTGGCTGGTCCAAGGTCGTCCTTCATTTCTGTTCTCCCATCTCTTCTTGGCATCAGATCCTGAAGAACATCTCATAAAATCTCTACGCCTCCAACCTAAGAGCGATGGCCTCCAACCTGAACATCTCATAAAATCTCTACTGACAAAAAATACAGACTCCACTGTTTGAAGCCTCACCTGTCACCTCACCTGGCCTACACAAACTCTGCCCAGTTCTCAGCTCTTCGTCCACACTCCACCGCTCGTCTTCGCAGGTGAAAAAGGACTCCAAGGACGACCCCAAGGACCCTCGCCGGTCCGACGGGACGCCGGCGGCCAAAAGAGACACGGACGCCACGGAGAAGAAAAGCCTCGTTGGGAGTCCGAAGAGGAGGGGGGAGGGAGAGCTCTGTGGCGAGGGAGGTGAGGCAGTGCTTTTGCGATGTTTTGTATTGGTTCGATTCTTTTCTCCGTGTGTTTTGCAAGTGGCCGGATCCAACTGGATCGACTCCCAAAAGTCACGGCCTCACAACTTATTTTCTGAAACATGAAGACTTTCACTTCTCGGATAACAAAGACTTCTGGCCCTTTCCGTTTACGGAGTCTGAACACACCGCTTTGCTTGGTGATTGACTCAGCTCCGCAGCTCCCTGTTTCTAAAGGTTCCAAGCGCTGAGGCAGCACTGGCGCGGCAGCTTCAAGAGCTGGAGGGCAAAGCCAAAGTCACAGAGAACTTGGCACGCTTGGACTTGGGCTCGGTTTTTGGGGGTCGAAGTGGCAGGTTTTTGAACTCAAGTGGATTTAGGCCGCTAGTGAAAAAGGAACAGGAAGGATCTTGACCCCGTGGGTTGCTCTCGAAATGGGTCGACTCTTTCAAAGGTCTCCTGACCAGTGGGATCTTGAGTTCCCTGAATTTTGATGAACTTTGCAAGAACCCTTAAGAACCTCATGTCACCGTGGGCTGCTGGGGGTGCAACGATCTGCTTGCAGCGGTCCTGACCGCCCACCCCCAACCCCACGCTGCACCGTGGCAGTCGGATGCTGCGCTGTACATCTCGGAGCTTCGTTGGCAGAGGAAGGCCACACCGACCGGGCGGGCGTCGGATGCCGCCCCGGATGGACGAGGGTTCGCGACAGCAGGGGATGGGTGTTCCACGCGTTTTAAACGTTTCGATTTGAAGTTAAGCCGAACATGCAACGGGCCAACGGGTGTCTTCCACCACGTTCGGACTCCTGTCCCACTGGTTCGGGTTTTACCGGGTTTTTTCCAGAAAAAGAACGACCGCGGTGGATGCGTTTGGCTCAGGTGAGACATCCACTGAACAAACAGGAGCGCGTGAAAACTGCTGGGCACCCACGGAGAACTGAGAGCTGAGGAGAACTGGAGTGCTTGGTTTCGAGGCAGACGGACTGAATTCCGGAAGATGGACTGAATGGAAATAGATCCGTTTATGCAGCTAGCGAGAAAGGGGGGTTTTCCAGACACCCATAGGGTCCAAGTACCTCCTGAGGCCGGTCGGAGAAAACACTTCCTGAGGGTGTTTGGGACTCAAGAGCATCCTGAACAAAGGTCCTGGATTTAAAGGCTTACGCCTGACAGCCGGGCGCCAGCCGGCAGGGAGAAGAGAGAAGGAAGGGATAGGGAGGAGACGGGGGCCGGGGGCGTGGGACACCCCGGCAGCATCCTCCGCGAGGAGGAGGCGGACTGTCCTGTAGTCCGAGATGTCCAGTCCAGCTTCTCTCCGCCGCCCAGAAAACACCGCAAATCAAATAGTTTTCGGACATGTCCAGCAGACGTTTCTCTCCGCAACCCAAAAGAACCGTAAAACATATAGTTTTCGTCCAGTCCGTACTCTTTCTCCTTCGCTAGAAGAAAAAGAGCCAGAGAGCCAGCGAAAGAACAAAATGCTAATAATGCATGGCTTTTCGGGCAGCGCATCTGGCACCACGAGCCTTTGAACACGACCTCGCATCCACCACCACATCTATCTTGCCACAAAACATCAAAAAATCGGACGGCCACAAAGCACGGTAAATTACAGCGAGCTCAGTGGGTTGGCGAGGGTCGGCGGCTGCCGGGGCCAACGAAGTAACCTTCGGTTACACCGACGGGTGTGGGGCCGCCCGGATTTTCTGGGACATGCACGCCCCGGTACCCTCCTTGACCGGCGACCGAGGCCACGAACTGCGACGTCTACGACGTGGCTCCCTTCGCCAGGCGTGACGGGGATGGTCGGAGCTGGACGGAGCTAGGTCGCCAACGGATGGACGGTGGAGGGATGGACGGTGCAGTGGACAGGATGGGTCACAGGCTGGGACGAGTTTGTTTTTCTTTTGTGAACTCATCCAAACTTGGGACATGAATGTCAGAAAAGAGGAATTCCGGGATTTCTCGATGGTTGTTAGATGTTCATAGCTGATGCTGATGGAGGACTGTCCATCTACCGTGGCACAAGCAGATCTATACCCTGGATTGACCTCCCGAGCTTGTCTTTGAGGCATATGCCATTGTGGGAGCGCTCGGAGGGAGGCATTTTCGTGGGTGAACGAGGAGCTGGATCAGGGTCAAGGCCTCACTCCTGCACGAGCTGAAACTGCAGCGAGCATGCGGGTTACCCACATGCGTCGAAGCCTCGATATTGCTTAATTAGGTGGAAAGGGGTTTTGTGCGAGAGGTCCTTGAGGCAAAGATCTGGCTCCACATTGATTCCAACATCCCATCCATTGTTTGGAAGATTCAGATGGACCCTGTTGGACGTGCTGCTTGTACGTGCTCCAACTCACTAAGGCTCCACGTTGACCAATGCCTTTGGTCCAATGTGGGCCAGCGGACCGAGACGGGGGCCCACGATGGCGCTCAAACCCAAAGAAACACGTCACCGATTCAGGAGTCGTCTGACGGGGTTTGGGAGATGTTTTGGAGCCAATTCTCAAGCCGGCCATGCCGCTTCCCACAAACACTCTGTTCCTTTTTCGTGTGGCTGTTGATTTGGAGGGCGAAACCAGTCGTTTGTTTTTTTTTCCGGTTTCGAGGTCGCAATTGGTGTGGCTTCAAGCTCTTTGCCATTTGGCCCTGGTCCGGCCCATCAGACTGGTCAGGGGAAAACGTTGGGTGGACCGGACGAGGTGTTTGCTTGGACCGGTGCTACGTCGTGCTTCCGGGGCCTTAACAGCTTGACCAATTTGAGCCAGGTCCATGCAGAATCTTCTTTCAACCACCTGCAAAATTGCTGTGGCACAGGTGTTCATCCTTGTTCCAGCTTCGAAACAGAGTAAACCGAGAGGCTGGTTGACTTTGCACCCACGGTGCTTTCAGCAAAATTCCCCAACCTAGCAGATCGTTGTGCCATTGCCAGCCAAGGGGTCTCATGATTTTTTAGGTACAGTGAATATCATGCACACGGGAGGTTCCAACAGCTGAACATTTTTGAACGAATATCTGCCCGGAACGAACAAATAGGACCCCAATTCTTACACTCCGCTGATGTAGGTAGGAGGGGACAATCGTTTTGTTTTCCTTCCAGAACGCATCATGTTCGTTCTAAGTTCTGATTTTCTGCTGTTTGCCATCAGCAACAGCCACCAGCAGCTCCACTGGAGCGAGCACCTTTTTGCTGCGAGGCATGAAAGGCATTCGATCCTGGATGAGGCAGGCAAAGGCCGGAGAGGAGGGAAGACACTTTCTTTACATTGGAAACATGTTGAAAGTTGCAGGTGTAGACCTGTTGGAGGGTGCTGGTACCTTGTTCAATTGCATGTTTTACGTTTTTTACTGGGGAAGAAGCAGCGGACATGGAGCTGAAGGGTGAAGTTCCCAGATCTGTTTCCGCAGGTGCCATTTTTTGCCCTCCGCTGACGTCAGAAGAGGTTGGAATGATGCGAACAATGCAATGTCTCCAGACTGTCACCACTGTCATACCAATGTCACTGCTGTGCAAGAAATGGCATCAGCTGTGAGCCCCAACTCTGCAGGAAGGCTTCTTGAGTCGAGCCAAGACAGTGTGACCCTAATGCTTTTGCTGTGCCGGCTTTCTTGATTTCAACATTTTTCGGATCCTTTTCAATCGTTCTAGCATCTGTTCAATCCTTTCGCACCAAACACGCGCACGAAAGGAGTCCAAACTCATTCCCTTTTGCCGATCTCGACTGAGGTCGCACTAGTGGGACCCGGAGATGTCTGGGTCAGCACCTCGATCCACGCCCGTGCGGCACACAAGCCTTTCGGAGATATTTAGATTTAGAATCAATGATTTCCTGAAGGATCTTGGACTGTCAATCTTGGACTGAAAGAGCTTGGACGTACCTTCAAGTCCCATAGCATCATATAACAAGTGCTTGGACTGTCAATCCTATGGAGCTCGATGTGCCTGCCGCGCCGACGGCACGTTTCAGTTTGATGTGCACGTGACGTCAATCCACATGTTTCGCCGTGTGCCGAGGTGTTCTCAGGTGGTCAGCCTCACACGGCCATGTGCGTGGGAGATGGGATCAACCTGTGCGCCTATGAGTCCGACCCACTCGGTTTGGTGGGACGAGGTTTGGATCTGCGAGGAGGTTTGGACGAGGATCATGATCGTTATGTGCATTTTAAGGCGAATCTGCGCGGATCTGTAAGGGTTTGGATGAGGATCTGTTGATGGTTAGGAGGGTTTGGGTGGTTGTTTGGAGGTCGGAGGAGGAAGAATGACCATGAAATTTGTTTTTTAAATATGGAATTTCACCCAAGGCCATGAAGGTTGCGATGGGCGTTCATCATGTGAGGTTTCTGGCCCATCGCCACATTTATTGGTTCGGGTCCGCCCTCCAGTGAGTTTGCAAGTCCAATGGTTTAGCAATCAATTTGTGGGTCGGATCTGCCAATAGGCAGGCTGCCTCAACATCGATGCATTGATTTGTGGCAAAGAGTGGAATGAGATGAATGAGAGAAGAAGAATGCAGGGGCTCTAGCAAAAGCAAGGCAAGAAAGAGCCCCGGGTGTGTATTTAAAGAAGGAGAGCCCCCTGGCTGTGGCTGGGTAGACTGGCTATTTCCCGATGGAACTGGGATGTATCCCAATTTCCAGAAGTTGTACTTGCTTGTGGAGCATCACATGATGTTTGAGAGAGACATAGACTATGAAGTATGAAGCAACATCAAAGCAACAGTCTCTACATGTTTCTATTTTTTGCACTGCGCTGAGCGGAAGCTAGCAAAGTTTTCCCAGATTGGAATGCGAAACATGTTCCCAACCAACAAGATAATTCTTGGTTTGCCCTATACTTTGCCTGCACATCTTGCACCCGTTACTTGAGGTGCGAATCTGATTGAATTTGTATCTATTTGCCGCCTCAGATCAGTCCAGATGTGAGGTCCTTTGTTCCAGCAAATGAAGAGGTGCGTCGGCGCCTGACCACGCGGGGCTGGTGGTGGAGCGATGAAGGGACTTGATGGGTGAAGTGGAGTAAGCTCACTCGAAGTCCGCTTCCAAAACCATCCACATGGGGCAAAATCAGGTAGAACCAGCCCATGGGACGACGAACCAGCGACTCTGCGACGATGGGCGCCCACGACCGGAGGCAGTGAGCCTGCTGGTGCAGTCGAACACCAAGGAATCTCACTGGCGGAACTGTTGGATGGACGTGGGGGGGCCCAGTTTTTGGGCCGAAACGGCATCCCACGGTGTATTCTTTTTTGGAGAAATAAAGAGAGGCATACGGGTGGGATGGTGGGTTTTGGGCCGCCCAAGATCGCGGCCCAGTGGGAACGGTCGACCGGAGGTGAAGATCGCGACGACACTCGACGAAGCTCGTCTTAGGATGATGACTTAGATGAACTCTACGAGGATGTGGTTGATTCGTGCTGGCCCCAGACATGCTGCACCTTTGGGGCTGGCCCATGTGAGACTAAAAAATTGTCTCTGCCCCCTTCAGTAATCTAGTGTAGCTTTCTTGATTCAATATATATTATAACTATAATTCAATTAGTAGTGCTTGGACCACCAGCTAATAAGGATGGATGACCTGTGGACGTGGCTTTCTCGCCACATTGGCCGCTGAACCAAATGGCGATGACTCTCCGGTGTCCCATTCGCGAGGTTGCAAAAAGCGCTGGCATGCTCCTCCTTGAACTCTCGACTGCGCGGTCGCGTGAATGCCCAGCGCTGGTGACGTCGGTGGGTTTGCCTTCGGTGACTGGGCCAGTTACGGTCGCGTGCCTGCGGTGCCCAAAACCAGTCACCTTAGACTGGCTGTGTCTCCATTTAAGCGACAGGGGGTCGGTCCCCCGGTCATTCTTTCTGTTAGTGGACCACCTTCGAGAAAAATGGATCGATGACACAGGACCTTTGAAAGCAATCAGACCCGCTCTGTGAACCCTTCGCTGTTTCGGAGAGAAAGACCGTCGCGTCCGCACGAAGCGCGCGCGAAGCGACGCGCGGAGGCCCGCCCCCGAAAGCTCCGAGGCTTGGAAGGCTGTCGCCGAGCCATGCGAGAGAGCGCCACACTGAGGCTTTGAGGAGTGTTTTTTTGCGGTTTGACGTCCACATGTTAGTGGTGATGTTGGGGGTGTCGATAAACCAACCCGAACTCGGTGGTGCTGGGGTTATGCGCTTTCCCATGACGAAATGGACATGGCAACCCACCGCTCTGCATTTTTTCCGAACATGCGCTCTCCAGAAACCACGTAGGCGGTGTTGGTTTGTCGGTTTATCACCGCGCCAAGGCAAGGATAGCTATTGCAAAGAGCTTTGGGCTTGGGTTCCAAGTTCCGCTGGTTTTCTGTGCTTGGGTTGCTGCGCTGCGCATGTCACCGATGGTTTTCGGTACGCTGCGCTGGTCTCCGAGGGGTTTTCTCCGAATCTTCAAGAGCTTGGTGGATGGACCGACATACTCAGAACCATTCAAAACCGATGTGCCTCCAGCCTGTCTCTCAGTGGTAGGTAGATAGAAGTAGCCCCTTTTGTAGCTAGCACATTGATAGCAAGAATTCGTGCTAGATGCCTATATATATATAGGTAGCGGTGTCCTTTGCTCCTAGTAGCTTCTTGTTACTAGTAGTACGGCCAGAAGCGCTCCGTTCGTAGCGGGGGGGTTTGACAGAATGGCACCCATGGGGAGAGAAGCCAGACAAGTGTCGCATGGCACGACGTCGTCACTTGAACCAGTCACGCCTGGTATTTGTAGTGACCATGCTCACTCTGTAGTTAACACACCTTTTCAAAGGGAACGATCGAGAAAGTTCGGTGTCTCAAGACTAGGAAGGTGAATGACGAATGACTTTTCACGCCCAACGAGACAGAACTGAGGAACAGGAGGATCGCGGCCAGCGCCGGCGTCGGAGGGAGGAGGAGTACGAGGAGAGGTCACATCTGACATCATTTGAGCTTGAGGACTGGACCCCAACAGTGCCGGACGTGTCATGCCCGCCCGAAAAAAAAGTGATGTGCCGGACGATCAATCTAAAATGGATCCCCGGGTGGTTAAAAGATGTTTTCCAAGGCCTCGGGCACACAGAAGGAATGATCATGAATTGGGTGTTCCATATAGTTCCTGTGATGTTCCTGGTGTTTTTGAGATTTCGTTTCATTGAAGGGTGTGGATTCAGCTGGGCACTCTGAGGAGAGTTCCAGTGACCTGGAGATCCAGCAAGGCCAGTAGCCCGGCGCGGGCTAAAAGTTGCAGAGCAGCATGTCTAAAGCGTGTCAAAGCATGAATACCAACGGCCTCCAACCTTACAGCAACGGCCATTCTCTCAACCTAATGTCATGTTTTTTTTCCAAGTTCCCAGTGGTGCAAGATCAATTTCCGTCCTTCATGGATCCCGAAACAACGTGGCTGCTTTGATCGCCCCCGTGGCGCCGCAGGCTCCAAGAAGCCTCGGGTCGACGGCAAGTCAGAGACTTGAATTGGCCTTGGCGCTCTGGAACCTCAGGTAGACCCTAGACATCCCTAGACTGATATATTACACCCCCCACTCGTGAAGAAGTCGATCCAAATGGGGCTCCAAACAGTTTCCTTTTCAAATCAAGCGCCTACACATTTTCTGGCACCTGGCGTTCATTGGGATTCCTAGCTTCAGGAGATTCACGCATGCAACGAATGCGACAGAAAACGTTGCTTCACCTGTCTAGGCGCATTCCGGAACCTAAGGTCTTCTTCACCGGGATCCGTCTGACGCGCTTGTGCTTGTGTCCCCGCTTGGGGGAAATGCGCTGGGACCCATGTTCCCTGTGCCGGTTTTGCAGCTCCACTGCCCCCCAGAATCGGGCTTTCTGCAGTTTTTGCTGATCCACATGCTTCAATTGCTCCAATCGGGCTTTCTCCACTATTTTCCACTCCAACCTTCTCTTGATCCTGCCGGTTTTCGCCCGCTTCTGAGGGACTCCTGTCAATGGTCCGTGCTTCGAAGAAGTGTGGTCTCGTCGGCGCGAGCTTTCGATCATCGATGTGTCGATCGATCGGGACGGGAGTGATGTTGAAAGACTTGAGCAGCTTGAGAAAGAAAAGTTACGAATATATGTATATACATACAGTTATACAATATAGAATTTCTATTTCAAGGATAAAACTCGTGGCACCCTGCCTGGCATGCACTTTCTTGTCCCCCTCAAGGATTTTCCACGGTGGCAGACTGGATGAAGCGCATCTTCTGCCCCATGCCCTTTCGCAACTCACAGGCTCACAGGTCTGTTTCATGAAAAATGGTCATGGTGACGGACAAAACGTTTCAGCAGACTAGAATTTCTGTCCAGCTGTTGCCCTGCAACAACCCAGCGGTCAGAGCATCCAGGTGCCACACAACTCAGATGTTTTGCTCGAACAAGCTTCATTGCATGCTCATTCTACCAGAGTTGCCAGGACATTTCACATCTTCAGCACTCATTCCACTCAAACCGAGTCGAAGCGTCCAGCACGGCACATGGTCATGGCGAGTCCCTCGCTCGGACTGCCGTCCGAGCGTGAGGAGCGAGTCCCAACCGAGCAGATCTTGGGCGAAGCCGCAGACCCTGAAGCAGCTGAAGCAGCGGAAGCAGCCGAGGCCGGAGCTGAGGCCGCCGAGGCCATCGCCGCGGTCGGCCCCGAAGAGGCGTCGGAGCTCCCGGCGCTCCATACCTTGGAGTTTCCCGATCGCCGGGATGAGCGCCAGCGCTTGGGCTTGATTCGATTCCACTTGGAGGATGGAGTGCCCGAAGTGGGAGGCTTGGGCTGGCGGTCGCGAGGCGGACATTTGTTAAAGAATCAGACCTTCTTTGCTAGCAAGCCGGGGGAGAATCTGTGGAACAATCCCACCCACGCAGGGCCTCGTACTTGGCGCACCTATCATGGTCCCAAATTGCGGACGGATGCGGATTTGATGGAGAGGATGGATCGGATTGAAGCACATCATGCGAATTGGGAAGCCAAGAAGGCATTTGTGAACACCGTGCGGGTTCAGACCTTAGATCGCTTTTACAGCAAGAAGGTGGAGAATGAGCAGAAAGAAATGGCCGCGACCTGGGCCCCTCATCGCAGGAATCGAGCTGAGTATCACAAGTATCATGAAACCTTGGCATCCAACTTGGACAATATGCCCATGAAGGAGCTGAAGAAGGTTCTGACTCCAACCGTACTTCACGGTGACCGTGAAGCGATCCGTGCGATCACCAAGCGCATTCAAGTGGAGGAAACCTGGAAGCTGGCCTGGAAAGACATGGAGATGGCACGTAGAGCAGAGACCCAGGCGGATTTGGAGCATCGGATGACTTACAACGCCATGCTCATGGAGCTAGCAGGTCAGAAACGCATCCACAAGCCACAAAATACCCCAGTGAGATGTTCACCAAGAGTGAAGCATTTGGCGCTCCCTGCCCAGCCTAGGACTCCAGATGATATCACCAAGCGTTCAGATTATGCCGGCTTGGTCCATGTGGACAACCGCCATGCCATGGAAGCGAGATTTCCAGGGTCTGGACATGCGCTCACCACCACCTTCACCGCCGATGCCACCGCCCGGAGCAAGCCGGCCTTCCCACCACCCGAGCCTCCTCCGACCCCCTCCTTCGCACGCGGTGCCGGTGCCAGCCCCAAGGAGCCGAGGGCGACTCACTCGGCGCGGAAGCCGGTGGTGCGGAAGGGCAGCATGCCAGTGAACCAACAGCGACTGCAAACCGTGAACCGACGACAGGAGCCGGTGCTCGGAGCGGTGTTCGGAGTGTTCGGAGCCGGTGTTCGGAGTGTTCGGTGGGGAGTGCCGATGGAAGTTGGGAACGGTGAGCTCTGCAGTACTGGTGGAAGAAACTGCAGTTAATAGCAATGATTGTCAGCATGCAAGGAAGAATCCTTTTGGTGTTTGCTGTGCACCCAGCAAGGGAACATCCAGATTCGATCAACTCACTCAACTCTGAGTTTATCAAAGAGTTTGAGTGATTGATTACCAGAACACTCAACACTCAGTTTATCAGATGACCAACATGATTCTTTTTGGGAACACACCCCAGTTGGACCGAGCTGCTGAGATAAGTCGGTCCGAACCGAGTCGATCTGCACGTCTTCGTCGGATCCCACGGTGGTGACGGCCGGTGCTCGGCTCAAAATTCCTTTGAGCCCATGACATGCTGGGAGAGCTCCATGACATGAGGAAAAAGATCACGAAAGGTAGCCTCAGGGCTACAGTTCTCATCAGTTCTCCCTTTGAGCGACGTCTTCGTGCCATGGTCCACCATCTCTCTCTTGAGTTCTTGGTCCCCACTCTCCCATCTCTCGACCCTCGCAGAAAGCAGAGGACCCTTCCGTCTTAGCGGAGCACTCGCAACAGCAGTTTCTGCCCACGTCGGCACCGCCGCCGCAGGGTGCTCAGCGCTGAGAACTCGAAGTGAAACATGCGAAACAAGTACTCGAAAGTTCAAGCTCACTACCTGGACCATCCAAGGGGGGTGCGCAATGGAAGCCTATTGGAAGTGTGGGATAGTCCATAGGACACCCATTGGATGGTCCTGGTACCGATACATACCCAGAACCCTATACATCAGCTTCTAAAGTCTAAATGTGATGTAGTACATGGACTGGGAACCGAAGGTCTCACCCAAGACCGGCATGCGGTTGACTTGTTGAGGCAGGGTTCACCCCGGTTGGCGGAGACTTCGACCGCTTTCAGCAGGTCTTTGGGTGAGTTGGGGTTCTTTTTGGTGCAACTCCTTGCAGCCGATGTCCGGATCTTTGACGGGTAAAGAAGAAACTAGTAACAAGCTACCAGTAGCAAGGCACCTTACTAGTAACAAGAAGCTACTAGGTTGGAGGCTAGTAGCCTTGACTTCTCCGGTCATAGTTGAGGCATGGTCCATGGAAGTCCATGGTGGTGTGACCGATGTGAGGAGTGGCAGATGTTTTGTGCCAAATAGCAGCGATCTATGGTTTCACTGACCGCCAAAAAGCAATAAACATAACCAAAAAAAGATATATAAACAAATATATATAAAAAAGACTCAAATGGACTCAAAGAGACATATCCTGTTGGTGAGCATGGCAGAAGATCATTATTTTTTGCCATAGGGTGTGGGGGCGAGAGTCTGGTGTTGACTGAGGCCGGATCAGGGACAGCTGCTGCTGAAGGAAACCAACGTCGGGGAACTCGGAGTTCATCAACTGGGTTGGTTGACTGAAGCTTCGCTGGGTTGACGTGACGTAGTTGTTTTTGCATTATGTATATTATTTCCTAGGTCGTGCTAGGGTCCTAGGCTGGTTGGCTAGTCGCTGTGCTGGGTGAAGTGCTTCGATGGATAGATGGGTGAGTTTGGTGGTTGATTGGTAGGTCAACGAGAAGACACATGAAGCATGAAGCACCACCCTTTAAACATATTTTACTATGCATTGGAGCAACATCATCATCTCCTATACACACTTCCAAAAAGTTCCTGCAATTGAAGAGGCGACCCTCCTCTCTGCCCTTGTCATCTGGCCCGCTCTCCTCTTGCGGTCAACACCTCGCGCTTACAGCCGGCCCTACCGTGCCGCGTGTGCTTGGCCCAACGTTTACGGGGCGTCCCTGCCCCGCGAAGTCCAACGCTGGACCTGAGGCCGCGGATCAGCTCCACATGAGCGTGGAGTTTCCACCGCGCTCGGACCACACCCAGAGCGGTTCCGTCCACTCCAAGGAGCGGTGAAACGGCCACTTGAAACACGCGGTGGACCCGGTCTGGTGGGTTCGAGGTGTCGGTTTGAGGGTTCTGGCGTGTCTTCTTGTTGGTGTTAACTTTATGTCATTTGTTAGAGAGAGGTGTTTAACGATGGTCATGGCTCGAAGGGGAATATGACAGAGTCATGGCTCGAAACTTGAGACGATTGAACTGGGATGTCGACCAGCGGAATCCACATGGTCTTCACCACTTCGTCACCGTGTCATGCGCCACGTCACCGCACGACGACGTCCGTGTCTGTCGCCTCCCCCTGGATTCGCGGTCACGTCAATGGAGCACGTCACGTCACGCGCCCCAAGTCCTTCGCATCCTTCGCATTCGCTCCGCAGTCGGGAGAGGACTCGGGCAAGTTGGATGTGGCTCCTCCGGCTCGGCCCATGTCCTATCCGGTGAGCGTCCGCAATGCCTCTAGACTGCATGTGCCGACGGTGATCGCCGGTGTGCGGCGTTCGACACCGTCACAGAACTGATACACCAATTCGAGGCCAAATCGTCAGGCTCAGGGCAGCCGTTTCTAGTGTACCTTTTTTCTTACAGGTTTTCCATGTTTCCGTGCCATTTTTTGGCCCACCGACCTGAAGATGGGCAAACCGCAAACCATTGCAAACCACTCCATCGGCTCGATGTTCGACCGACCTGTGGGTTGCATGTTCGGGTAGCGAGACACCCATCAGTTGTTCCCTGCAGAGGGGAGACCCGGAGTGAGAGGCACCAGTTGAAGCAGAACACGGAGTCAGACGGAACCCGAGTTTGGAGAGTGCGTTTCTGAGACACGAAGCTCTTTTCCACTGCAACAGCCATCGACTTAGAGTAGAAGCACCTTCATCCTGCGACTTGGAAAAAAAAAAGCAAACATGACCTCATTCAACCCCTCTCATCCATGGGCTTCCTCGCACTGGTCGATCTTACTTACAGTCCGCGTTTTCTCCGATCATCCGTGCCGGTCGGGACCTGAGGTGGAAGATGGCATGGAGATGTTGGATTGGAGGCCTAAGCGTTGCCATGGTGCTTTGGCAACTGCCTGGGCCCAGGTGTTCAGAGCTATGGACCGGAAGTCACATCGAGATCCACATTGGGAGCTTGGGGAGATTGAATGGTCACCATTTTCCGATCCATTCAGAAACATCCATGTTCCATGACAAGTCCATGTGGTTCGGAACATGACAGTCAAAGAACAGACGTGGTACGTCTCAGACGTGGTTGTTCAGGGGGTTTCCGGGTTTGGTGGAACGAACCACCTCAATGAGGGATTTTTTGAGTGGCTCTGAACATCGAGCTGAGCTGGGTGAAGGTGAGGCCATGTTGGTCCACCCCTCGGTCTCAGAACATCTGTGTCAGAACTGCCGGCTGGCCATGGTTCGTTTTTTGTCCACTCTGAAGGACATGTTTAGAATGACAGTATGAAAATCTAACTGGTGCTTAGAAGGGAATGAGGCACGAGGCCTTGAAGGCATGAATTCGTCACCGGTTTGCTAGTGAAATTCATGAATTATCTCAATCCAAAGCAACCGCGTACCTGGAAATTTGTCCAAAGCATGTTATTTTTCTTGAGGGGCGCTCCTTCCCTATCTTCCCTCCTTCCTCGTCGCACGAGGTCTCCCTTTCATGATTGGATGGTGGATGGTAGACAACACACTGGATCTTATACCCTAAACCACTTGAACTGAGTGGTGCTGGTCGTTCCTGCTTCATACCGCATGAATACCTGACCCAAGTCCTGATCCACTTTTTCGACGTTATTTGCCTCCTCAGGCCACTCCGAAAGAGAGGGTGTTGCAAAGCGTTCGCACCGAGCGCTGGCCTCCCGTGCGGGCCCCGCAAAAGCGATGGCCTTTTACGATTGGTTGATGAATAAGAGGGGGAGACCCGGGGAGACCCCCAAGTGTACCGGTCGCAAGCGGTATACGGTATACATGGCAAGTACCTGGCACTGATTTTGTACCTGGCACTCCGGTTTGGCCGGACATGGAGCGTTTGGGCCGTTTGAGCAGCTGACACAGGTTTGGGGACTGGGGTGACGACTTGCGGGCTGAAATTCAGCGAGGGGGGACACGTGTGCACCCCTCTTTCTGCCAGAATTTCCGATCTTGATGATATTTCAAGCTATTTCAACCCCTCAAGCCTGAAGAGGTTTTACAATCCAAGCAGACATGCGGGGTTGAAATATGATCAAGAGGCTACATGAATTTGAGGCGCCAGGGCACTGCTACTTGTTATGTGGGATTCTCAGGCTTCCACAGAACATCGGTTTGACTTCTGTATGAAGGATATGAAAGGGACTGGCAATGAATATGCTTAGTAGACTCTGACGGATTAAAGCTTCTGCAGGGGGACAGAACACATGGTGATTCCACACCGACCGTGCATGGGGGTTGTCCAAGTTATGGAGCCGACGATGCATCGCTGATTCGCTGGAGTCGATGCAGTCATGGTTCGGGCCAAGGTGGGAAGTCAGACTGTGGACATCACCATTCTATCCGCGGCAGGAGTGTGGGTCCAATGCGACAGGCGACCTGAAGTGTTTTGATCCTTGGAAGTGCGGGTGCAGGGCTCACTGTAGAGCATGCCTGAATGCCAAGTCTCCACCACTGTGGTTTTCATCCTCTTGCTGGTTCTTAATTGCGGAAAGCTTCTGCTCTCTTTTTCCAGCTGACCTTCTCCCCAAGTGCAGAGAAAGTGTGATGAGCTAGCCACGTTTGAATCAAGAGTAATCATATATTAAGATAACACAAGGACCCCCATGATAGTGGGGGCTTGCTAGGTCCCGCACCCCTCGGGACTTCAGATTAGAAAGTCAAAAAGAATATCAAACGCACTCAGTGGTTTCTTCACCACTCAGTGGTCTCTGAGCCTTCCTGACGTTCTTCACGTTCTTCGCCTCGGTCTCCGCCACGGCTTTGGGAGGACTACCGAAAGCCGATCGAACCGGGCACTCAGATCCCTATGTGGTTGTAGAGGCCGAAGTGGGAGGGTTCCGTGTAGGTTCCGTGTGGGGTGGCAGGGGATTGTGAGGTGGCTGGTTCGTTGTCATTTCTTTTTTAGGAGCCGGAGTCTTTCGAGTCTCTGGATGTTTGCGGATTTGGGATTGGGGAACGTTTTTGGAACATGCAGGATGGAGACATGACCACCGAACAAAAAAAAACATCGATGCAGCAAAAAACCTTTCTTTAGACATTTACAAGGTTTTGCCAGGTCGCTCACGTTGGCACTATTGTGGATCCGCGAGAGAGGGGTTCATTTTTTTTTTCAGTTCTTCTGCTTTGGTGGGGATTGGTCTGGAACCTCTTCACGCTGTTGTTCAACGATTGAGATGTTTGCTTGGTGAGCGAGAGACTTGAGTGACTACAGAGAGAAGAGGCAACTCTTCAGGAATCAAGAAACTAGGAAGAAACGACTTCAGCTGTTGCACTAGCAATGCTTGGCAGTAGCTTGAGACTTACTTCAAACACCATGGTTTCAGTGGTATTGCGACCCCGCAAGATATTTCATATACAATGCAAAGACCTGGAAGACAGTGTGAGAAAGGAACAGGATCACTTGATATGAACAGCCCACCTTTTCTGTTTGGACTGTGTTGCTTGAATCGCTCCTCCTTTCCGCGCCACAGGTTCCTGGAAAATCCAGGTCCAAAGCCAAAACAACTGCAGGAACCTGAGATGCCAGTCTGCAGATTGGGCCACCAAGCGGTGCTGAACATACTCCACCGAAAGATCAACATACTATAGAAAAGCTTCACCTGAAAACAGGCCCCTCAACCAGCAAAGTATGATTTCCTTTTGCCTCACACAGTCTGCAGACCACGTGAATCTTGGGGAAGTGCAGCATTTGCAGAGTGCCCAGCAGTCGAGGTTGCTCATTACACCGAGAATCCTGTTTGGAACCAGCCGCTGGTTGTGTGCCGGACTTAGACATTGCAATTTGTATCATCGATACCAAGTAAGAGAGATCGATAGAAGCTACAAGTTTATGGTAGATCAAGAGGTCAAGGCCTGTTCTTCTGCGTGTGGCAGGCCTCTGATGACCTCTGGATTTGTGCCACCATTTGAGAGGTATGTAGAGTGTAGAGCTCAACATAACTCGCGACTTCTTCGGGGAAGCCAGGCCCACCGATGTTGTGGGAACCCGTGGCTTTTCCTTGGAATCGTTCAATTTGCTCGGGTGAACTGGCCTTCGATCCCGTCGGTGTGGCTGGATGCCGGTTCACTCAAGGCGTGGATGGCGACGTGGTGAGCCACTGGCCATCTCTGCCCGGACGTCGAGAGCTGTGAGAGACCGGTCGTCCGCGGTCCACGTGGACCCCGAAGCGGTCGGACGACGTGGAGAGCGGGAGCATGCTGGAGCTGGAGCGGTCGGAGACCTTGTCCTTTCTACGTCTGGTGTATTATCACGGTTTTTCATCGGCGTTGACGCAGTGAAACGCATTTTGGTCATGTTGAGTTTGAAGAGACATGATCAGATCATCTAATGAAAGGCCATATGCCGTACGCGTGACTCCGAATTGGCGGTGGAAAAAGAGAGGAACATGAACTACCCCCAAGAAGCATCACTGCAGTGAGAGAGTTTTATAGGCTGGCATGAATGAAAGGGAGATCCATGTGAGTTCGTGCCATACACTCCGTTTCAAGAACCAGTCAGTTCAACATGAAAGACAGATCACCCTTGCCATACCAGGCTTATGAAATAAAGCACCCTTGCACGGAGTAATTAAGGAGGATGAAAATCCATCAACCTGATCATCGAAGATACACTTACTATCCGATTCTTTTGCAGAATCCAGTGAAATGATCCTACACAACATTTCTATTCAGCAGGTTCTACATAAACAAGTTATTTAAATTGATTGTGGATGGCAACTGCATGATTATCCTATATACCAGATCTACTGTAGTAGAATCAATCTCTCCCACATCCATCGGCGTAGCCCGTAAAACGCCTAGGTGGTGGATGCCGACGTCATGGGCGCAGATGATCAGCTGGCCTTTGTTCAGGCGATGGATGGCTCCGAACATGGCCAACACCAGTCCCTTTGTCACTCACCCTCCCGACGCAATGACTGGACCTTCGATCACAGCTGTGGCTTTCTTTTTCACGTCGACCTCTTCGTGTCAGACGGTCGTGCAGCTCGTCGTTGGCCACCACCGCGCCGTCACGGTGTGCCACCGGTCCACCGGGAACACGGAAGCTTCCACCGGGTTCGCAGGTGCCGAGTGCCGACCTCTTCCCACACGGCTTCGAGGGAAGGCGTGCGATCTCGCGGCGCGTTCCGATGGCTCGCGCGACGCGCTCGCGCCGGGACGGAGGTCCGATGGTCCCAAAACGAGTCGCTTTGTGCCGATGTTCCCGATGTTTCGATTGTGGATTGGATGAAAGATCTCCCGCTTGTCCGAGTTGGAACACCACGGTGTGCGCGTGCTTTTTTTGGTGAACGGTTTCAGGCTGGAGATGCAGAACACCTGGGTCTTGGACAAGGGCATGAACGAGGAGTACAAGCAGTACAATCTCACCTGCAGGCAGCTTGTAGCAGTACAACAGAAAACAGAATCGACAAACACTTTGTGTGAATTCCGATGCTTCACTTCTCATTCCGCTTCGCCGTTTCCACTGACGATCCTAAAAGCCGGTGGAGCATCGATCCTGGCAAGAGCAGCGATCCCGATCCCGCGTGAGGAGCTTCACACGCGTCGTGTGGTTTCGCTTCACGGCACGTGTGAAAGGGAGGATGTCCTTCTAAGTTTGAGTGTCCCTCCCAACAAGGAAATGGGTTCTCCCACTCTTTGTTGGAGGAACAGAGTCTTCCAACATCCACTTTGCGAAAGGGAGGGTGTCTGGTGGGCCCCAGCGGTCGGTATACGTCCCGTATACGTGACGCCGTATACGTCGGACTGATATCTCCGTGAGGCCCAGCATTGATGTGAAGATTTCTTTGCGAGATGACATCTACACCGGAACTGGGCCCGGGCGCCCTAGTTTGAACGAGAAGCTGCGGCTGCTAGGACGCTACTAGGTTGGAGGCCATGGCTAGTAGGAACAAGAAGCTTTGGTAAAATGTATGAGCTCATTTGGTGTCTCAAAGGAGGACAACGAATGACGAGCAGGACTAGTCTGACTAGACGAGACTAATGACTAGATGAGGGAAAGTCGATGGATGAACCAACAGCTGCGTTGAGACAACACCCATTATTTCACATGTCTTTCACATGTCTGATGTCTTTGCTACCTGCTACCGGCTCAGGCTGTCAGATTCTATCATATTCTAGTGCACCAGGCTGAGCTACAGCTTGCCTAGTTCCAGCCGGTGAAACCCCTGGTCGAGGCCAGCGCTGAGCTACCTGCAAGCGGAACAGGCGGTACCGGCCCTCAGGGTCGAAAACCGGAACCGCCTGGTCAAACACCTGGTAGGTTGACCATGTAACTGTAGTCGATTCTTATCATTTTGGAATCTTTTGGGTTCTGTTGGAATCTAAAGAAATCTATATTATAGCGAGGATTCAGAACCCTGGCGGAATCCCGTTTGAGCCAGATTTCTTGGGCTGGCCTGGCCTGGCTTTCGATTTCGATTTCGGCTTGAATTGCCACTTGGAGCACCTTTCCTGCGACCGGAAATGGGTTAGTTAGACATGCCGTTCGGTTGAGGTCAGCATGCCAGATGCACAACCTACCACCGGTCTTGGCCCAAGCAAGCAGCAACTTCCCAGAGGCAGTTAGTCGATGTTAGTCGATGTTAGTCACTGTCTCTGACCGTCTTTTTTTGACGAGGCGCAGTGTGTGCACACCTGGACAATTTCGAAGCAAAGCTCAAGCCCGTTTGAAACTGAGACTGTGGAACATCGAGTCATGAAAAAGCCAATGGTTGAGTTCACTTGAAGCTACAATCCCAATCCAACCCTCTCCCATACTCCCCTAAGCCAGAACCTCAAGCCATCGCTCGCATGGCAGCGACCTCCACCACACCAGATCTTGGTTGGTGCTACGGCTCCACCTCTTTCCTCCGCTGCCGCACTTGGCACTCGCTGCTCCGGCTGGTAGTCCAGGTGCCGCGACTTGGAAATTTCTGGATGAGCACGCCCTTGCATGACCGTCGAAGCCTCAGTCTGTCGGGACACCGGAAAAGCGACGAGACTCGTCAGCACCACCAACAGCTGGTCGTCTCGCGAGACTCATGGTTGAAGACTGGTGGTCGGGCATGGTCAAGGACCCAGGAATATCCAGAGGAAGCCTTCCAACATCTATTTTCCTGTGCAAAGTGTTCGGGCGAGACTTCGAGTAGCAATTTCCCAAGAATCGCTGACACTCGAAAAGAGAGGGCTGAATCTGGTTGGAGACCCTATGGCCACACGGCACGCCAGAACGGGTTAGGGCCAGGTTTCATGCTTGTGACCGGGAAACTCCCCCCCAGGTAAACGCCTCCTCGTCCTGCACCCTCATCCCATCACACGATCGGCCCTAAGGTGCCTAGCGTTCTTGGTGCTGTCCAGAAAGACCGTCGATGTGGCAACACTTGGAGCAGTTGCCAATGCTGTGAAATGCATTTAAATGTACCCTGTACATCCTGTACATCCTGTACTCCTTGATAGTTTCTTTGATCCGACACACGGTGATCACTGCACATGGTTGCACTAAATGATCACTCTATATACGCATGTTTATTTCTTCCGGTCTTTCTTGGTTTAGATTGCCACCTGCATGGCGCAGTGTCGTTGTTGAAGATCAACAACAGCTCCGAAAGCCAAAGACAGTGAAGAGTCTCTGACCTGATGCAACGAGAGAGAAGTTCTTTTATGTTCTTTTACTTGAGTGGGACAAAGAATAGAAGAGTCTTTGGCCTTCTTTGGATACTGACGTTCGACATCTTCAGACTCTACCGGCGATTTCGTAGCTTGGACACGACTGCCGTGACTCCGAACGAGTTCTCGCGAGAGAACACTCGCGAGAACTCGCTTGGGGTGTGCTGGGTGTCGCTCGATGTGGGCGGCCAGAAACTTGAAGACAAAGGGAATTCCCACGGGAAGTCTTGGGACCTTTGATTCTTTGGTTCTCATGAGCTAGAAACTTTCCTGTGGTTTCTGGCGTCCATGTACATACAGTAGCTGCTGAGATGCTCAAAACGAGCTCTATCACAACTTGGATATTACCCTCTGGTGATGCAGTGCAGGCTTTGGAACAAAACATCGCGCTAGCCCTTTTTCGAGTTACAGGTCCATTTTGACCTGGGAAGTGGGGAAACCATGGGAAACCCACCGTTCGTAGAGCTACTTGACGAACATCCCCAGACCAACATAGTCCCTGACAATTGACCGTTTTTGGGCTAATCGGGGCTTCCTGCTCTGTAGCCGGGGTGGCTGCTGCCGGCCATAGACTCGAATTGGTGCTAGTCTTCTTGCTTTTCAAGCGCGGAAGACTCGGATGCCGAGCCGTTCTGTACTCAGCCAGACAATGAACATCTCAGGCAGTCCCAAGATGAAAGTGACATATCACCGCTAGAATTTTGTCAAGTTCTTTTTAGAGTCCCTTACATGTAGATATCGAAAGTTGGAACATTTCCAGCCTCCTTGAAGCCAACCCCCTTCGAAAGATCAAACCAATCAGAATTTCTCAAGCCAGCCAGCCATGCCGATCTGCCTGTGACGAGGCGTCAACCTCCGGTCTTTTTTCACCTTCAGCGGTTTCAAGCGGTTTCGCTGTTAACGTGAAACAATGCGAAACAATGTGTTTCACACCTAGAAAAACCTTCTAGGAGCACCCTGGAGTTCGGGTGGTTCATATTATAGACACGGCACACATTTTACATCCCCTTTTTCCTCTGTATGTTCCATTTTCCATCCCCAAACCCACCCAAACTGCCTCCGTGCAGACTCTGCTTCTCGGAAGACCCGAGCGGCCCGAGCGATCGAAAGGAAACCCTCACGCGGCCGGACCAACAGAGCTGGGCGGAGTGGCGTGGGTCCGCTTCGGATGCGTCGGATCCCTCGCTCGGGGGGGGCATCCGCACTGCGTTGTCGCAAAAGAGATGAACGAGGCCAATGGCACAGCCCAACCAGGCGTCCTACCCCCGACTGAAACATCACCTAACATCATCAAACGTCAAAGCAACTCTTCAGTCTCCCTCTTCTGAGTTGCGAAAAAACGTCCTCCAGTTTGCCCACCTTCCGGTTGTGCGGAGGCATGAAGCGAAAGCCTCTGGAAGCGGATGCAGCGATGACGATGTCGACACCTGCACTGTTCACCTCGAAGGTGGAGAAAGCTGTTGCTCACCTCGATGGGCTGCAACAAGTCATGACTCGAGACCTTGGGGGGGCTAGAAATGGATTCCGAAGTGGATCTTGGTTTTACAGCTAATGATGCTAATGGCCGTTTTCTTTTTTAAATGAAATCTTCAAGACACCTTCTTTTGCAGCGCTTGAACACGATTTAACTACGCAAACTCTGGCCTATTGTGATTGCGATTCTTGGACTTTTGCAAACTCGTGATGCCCGTTTGGATCCAAGACCACACAACCGGTAGTTTTGCACTCAGCAACCTTGCTCTTCGACAAGCAGAATGGCTGCTGTGATGACGTCGGAAGTGACACGAAGGACCTTGAGGTTCACGCGGATGTGCCGATATTGGGGCTCAAACCGTTGCATGATGGGTGATACTTGCAACTTTGCACACTCAGATGATGAGTTGAGGCATGCTCCGGACTTGGTGGCCACCAAGCTTTGCTATCAGTTCTCCTCGAAGGGCAAGTGCAGCAAGGGAGCTACCTGCACCTTCGCCCACGGGGCCCTTGAGCTCCGCCCGAGCCCACCGGAAGCGCGGCGACCCCAAGAGATGGAGCCCATGAAGGTGGCGCAGGTGGCGGCCGACGATACGGCCGTGTCTGTCCGACCCACACGGACGTGTGCGTCCAAGCTGGTCTTGATCACCACACCCTTCCGTCCTCCTCCTGGACTCCTAGCTCCGGAAGAGATCAAAGATCGCTTTGAGTCGGAGAGTGCGGCATCAACTTCATCTCCTTTCAGCCCTCGAAAGGAGTCAAGTGAGATCGACAGCGAACCTTGCAGCCCCAAGAGTGAGATCTTCTGGCTGTGAGCGGCCAAGCCGAGGTTCGGCGTTCTCCGTCCCTAAAAACAACGACGTCATGTTGCTTGGCAGCACTTCTTTTTCAAAGAATGGAGCTTCATGTCCAAGTAGTGCTGTCTGCGCACCATTTTGGCCTCAGAAGTGGGGCTCTCGTTCTTTTGTGCCCAAGTTGAGGGCACTGGGTAGACAATGGTTTAACCCAGTTTTTCATCCCTCAGCAAGCACGACTACATGAATTTCGTCTCAGTGACGAAAGCAGGAGGATGCAGACAAAAAAGGCCCTTGTTCTGGGGGTAGGCAGACTGACTGAAGTTTGCAGGTGGTTATGAAGGAGGTGGATCATTTGCTTTGCATCACCATCACTGGCCTTGTTTTGCTGTTTCCCACCGCCTGGCCAGCTTCTTAAGAACGCAAGGCCTCGCTTCCCTCCTCAAGCCTCTCTCAACCAGACAGAGCGGCTTACGACTGCGCTCTTGACAGGGAGGGCGATCTACCCAATCTTTTTAGGAGGGGAGAGAACTGTGTACCACATGATACTGTCCAGTCACCAAGCGGATGAATAAGAAAAGAAACCCAATGGGGGTTGTTGAGATTTGTTCACTTAGCCTTCGAAAAATCCATCTCCATTTAGACGTCTCCCTTCCCATCTCATGAACATCAGCTGGTCAGGGCACATTTGATGGCAAGATGACCTTGAATCTTTCAGAGGCCCGGCTTGGTCGATTCAGTGGGGTATTTCTTGTCGCAGTCAGCGGTCGCTTCAGCGACGGTACGTCGGCCATGATGTGCCGGAGGCATCCACTACACAGCTGTTGCCAGGTGAGCCTGGCTCAGGTTGACCGGGATTTCTGGCTCGGGATGGCGGGGGGCTGGGGCTTTTGCACGTTTTCGGAGAGACCCGAAAGGGACGGAAGAATTCGGTGAACATGTGTACTTGGTTTGGAAGATTTTTGATCATTTGCATGTGCTTTCGCACATGCTAATAATAGATTAACCTCTGATTAATGAACTTTGCTAACTTTATTTCGGGTCCCTTTATTTATCATAGGTCAACATTACCCTTCCTGGGAGAACACCGATGAACTCGTTCGTCCTTTGCCCCTCCCCCATCACCACGCAAAACCGGGTGTTAGGTCGGACACCGGGACAAACGGGTCTGTCCGGCATACCTTTTGTTGACGTTTTGGGACCTGCCGACCGGTCTCACATCTTTCAACGCCCCGTTGAAACCGCGCCGGGCTTCACGTGCGGAGCGCACGCGCGCGCGGTTCACGTGGAGGTCCAGCGGATCGGCGTTCGGCCGGCGTGGGGAGCCCGAGCGGGTGGGACGGCCCGGGAGACGAGTGGAGGATGGTGCGGTGGATGGTTGGAGGGTGGTGTGTGTTTTTGACGTCCGGTACAGCATGGTGGAGCTGTTCCATCTGGAGCGACGATTGAATTGGGTGAGAGCAGGAAGGTGAGGAAGACACACCGCAGTTGCTCGCACTTCTTCTTCAGCTGCGCTGAGGAACTGCGCCGCAACAGCAAGACCCTTTACAAGACCTCCATGAGTGAAGAGCTTGAGCATGTTCGGTCCGGTCGGGGGTGTTTCATTTTGGAAAGTACATGGCTGAACTCAGTAGAGTGGGTGAGCAGTGTTCGGCGGCTCGAGTCGGTTGGATTTAGATGCTAGATGCTGAACACAGTTGGGAAGAAACATGACACCTGCTGACACTTGATGTCCCAAGAGAGAGGATCCTGGCACTGCCAGGGTCAATCGCAAATGAGCGACACAAATGGACATGCCGAGGCCAATCCGCCAAGACTCTTTCGGACAAGCCAGATCCTTTTGAGGAGGTGGGTGTTCAGCCAGGTGACTCCCCATCCATGCAGTGACTGTGAGATACTGTGAGACTGATGATGACTGATGCGCAGATGGAACTACTCTGAAATACAAAAAACATCCAAAAACATACTAAAATATAGAAACCCAAGCGCAGCAGGGATGTGGGCAAGCTCAAAGCCATTTTTTCAGGAGGCGTTGACCTCAGGACAACATGTCCCAGGCAGACTTAACTTTAGGGCCACCCGATTGTCTTGGAAGAGTTTCCTCATGTTTCCTCTCTAAAACAGGGGCTTCTCTCACTTCCACGTTTTCTGGGAAGATGTCGACACGAGACACGGACATCGACACCCACTGTTCCACCCTGGAGTTCTCCGATCATCGTCTTCAACGAAGTCACTTGGGCTTGGTGAGATTCCAACCGGAGAATGCGATGCCTGACGTTGGTGCTCTAGGTTGGCGGTCCAGGAGTGGCGGTCTACACACGTTGAACCCGTCCCGCGGCGTTAGCGTTGTACAGAACTTCTTGGTGTTGAGAGTTGAGAGATGGCAGTTCTTTCAAGGCCTGTGGTAGGCAAGACCTTAGGTGAGCCCCCTACAAAGCTTCAGGAGTTCCAGCTAAACTTGACAGTTAGAAAACTGTTACATGTTACAGGCATCTTAGCATCTTCGGTTCTTGGATATATCACCTATGGACGAACTGGGC